ATAGTTTTCCCTTAATTTGAAATTAATGTCTTTTTCTTCTTCACCATTTTCCTTACATTGATTTCCGGTTGTATGAAAAATAATGGGAATCGACATTAAAAAATGTATGCTTGTGAATGCAGATCCAAAAAGGAGGTCGAAGAGAGGACCTCCGTGTTCATGTTGCTAATATATATCGAACTGTGTCTGAGAATGTCTGGCCTGGAATGCTTGCTCGTAAACCAGTTTTCCGCCTTCATTATCTAAGGTTTATTGAAGATTCAACAAGACACATATCGTCGGCACCTCCTGAAAGCTTTCAGGACATGCAGCCTCTGCGCTATGCACTTGCGTCTGTTTTAAGATTCCTTGCCCCTGAATTTGTGGATTCAAAATCAGAGAAATTTGATGTTAGAAGTAGGAAGCGTCTATTCGATCTTCTCCTTTCTTGGTCTGATGATACAGGAAGTACGTGGGGACAGGATGTTGTTAGTGATTATCGCCGTGAAGTTGAGCGCTATAAGACCTCGCAGCATAACCGGTCAAAAGATTCTGTAGACAAGATTTCTTTTGACAAGGAACTGAATGAGCAAATTGAAGCCATCCAGTGGGCCTCGTTGAATGCAATGGCCTCCCTTCTATATGGACCGTGTTTTGATGACAATGCAAGGAAAATGAGTGGCCGTGTGATATCGTGGATAAATAGTTTGTTCATCGAGCCTGCTCCTAGGGTCCCTTTTGGTTACTCGCCGGCTGATCCGAGAACTCCATCTTACTCCAAATACACAGGAGAAGGTGGACGAGGGACAACAGGCCGTGATAGGCATAGAGGTGGTCATCAACGTGTTGCGTTGGCAAAATTGGCTCTGAAGAATCTTCTACTAACAAACTTGGATCTCTTCCCTGCCTGCATTGATCAGGTAAAGTTATTCTGACTGAATGTATGGAAGTTGTGTTAATCAAATGTCTCCGTCTTAATTCTAGATTAAAAGTATAAATTTTGACCAGTGATGACAGCTTACCCATGCAATGATGGTTTCCGTATCAGCTATGTTCTGTTTTATTAGCTCCAGTTTCAGCACCTGAATTCTCTTGATAAGCTTATTTTTCACTTCTATGCCTTGCTCATTCGTGTGAATTCATCCTTAATTGGACTCTTTTAAATTACATGAACTAATACATCTGTGATTTTTCCAGTGTTACTACTCTGATGCGGCTATAGCTGATGGGTACTTCAGTGTGTTGGCTGAGGTCTACATGCGACAAGAAATACCAAAATGTGAAATCCAGAGGCTCCTGAGTCTAATTCTCTACAAGGTAGTTGATCCATCTAGACAAATTCGTGATGATGCTCTTCAAATGCTTGAGACACTTTCTATGCGTGAGTGGGCTGAAGATGGTATAGAAGGTTCAGGAGGCTATAGAGCAGCGGTTGTAGGTAATCTTCCGGATTCCTATCAACAGTTCCAGTACAAGCTCTCCTGCAAACTCGCCAAGGATCATCCTGGGTTAAGCCAGCTCCTTTGTGAAGAAATTATGCAGCGTCAGCTCGATGCTGTTGATATAATTGCTCAGCACCAGGTCTTGACTTGTATGGCTCCATGGATTGAGAACCTTAATTTCTGGAAACTCAAGGATTCGGGTTGGAGTGAAAGATTACTAAAAAGTCTTTACTATGTCACATGGCGACATGGGGATCAGTTCCCGGATGAAATTGAAAAACTTTGGAGTACTATTGCTAGCAAGCCCAGAAACATTAGCCCTGTATTGGATTTCTTGATCACAAAGGGCATTGAGGACTGTGATTCAAATGCATCTGCCGAAATAACTGGTGCATTTGCTACATATTTTTCAGTTGCTAAACGTGTAAGTTTGTACCTCGCAAGGATATGTCCTCAGCGTACTATTGATCACTTGGTTTACCAACTGTCACAGCGGATGCTCGAAGACAGTATTGAACCCATTGGTTATGGTGCAAATAGGGTTGACTCAAATGGAAATTTTGTGCTGGAGTTCTCTCAGGGACCTGCCACAGCACCTCAAATTGCTTCAGTTGCAGACAACCAGCCACACATGTCACCACTTCTTGTCCGAGGCTCCCTTGAGGGTCCCCTTAGGAATACAAGTGGAAGCCTAAGCTGGAGAACAGCAGGCGTGACTGGGCGAAGTGCTTCTGGGCCTTTAAGTCCAATGCCTCCTGAGTTGAATATTGTTCCTGTAGCTACTGGTCGTTCTGGTCAGCTCCTGCCATCATTAGTGAATGCATCAGGACCATTAATGGGAGTTAGGAGTTCTACAGGAAGTTTGAGGAGTCGCCATGTCTCACGGGATAGTGGAGATTATCTCATTGATACACCAAATTCTGGGGAAGATGTGTTGCATTCTGGGATCGCAATGCACGGTGTCAATGCAAAAGAACTCCAATCAGCCTTGCAGGGGCATCAACAGCACTCACTAACTCATGCCGATATAGCTCTGATTCTTCTTGCAGAAATCGCATATGAGAATGATGAAGATTTTAGGGAACATCTGCCTTTGCTTTTCCACGTCACCTTTGTTTCGATGGATAGCTCTGAAGACATTGTGCTAGAGCATTGTCAACATTTGCTTGTGAATTTGTTGTACTCACTTGCGGGTCGCCATTTGGAGCTATACGAGGTGGAAAACAGCGATGGAGAGAACAAACAACAGGTTGTGAGTTTAATTAAGTATGTGCAATCAAAACGAGGGAGCATGATGTGGGAGAATGAGGATCCAACGGTTGTGAGAACAGATCTTCCTAGTGCTGCTCTTTTGTCGGCACTTGTTCAGAGTATGGTTGATGCTATATTCTTCCAGGGAGATCTTCGTGAAACTTGGGGAACTGAAGCTCTCAAATGGGCTATGGAATGCACTTCAAGACATCTAGCCTGTCGGTCACACCAAATATACCGTGCGCTACGGCCAAGTGTGACAAGTGATGCATGTGTCTCACTTCTACGCTGTCTCCATCGATGTCTTAGCAATCCCATTCCTCCAGTTTTGGGTTTTATCATGGAAATCCTTCTGACGCTACAGGTCATGGTAGAGAACATGGAGCCAGAGAAAGTCATACTCTACCCACAACTCTTCTGGGGCTGTGTCGCCATGATGCACACAGACTTTGTCCATGTCTACTGCCAGGTTCTTGAGCTCTTCTCCCGTATTATTGACCGTCTATCATTCCGTGACAAAACAACTGAAAACGTTCTCTTGTCGAGTATGCCTCGGGATGACAACACTAATGATTTGGGGGAATTTCAAAGGACGGAATCTAGAGGGTACGAGATGCCACCGTCAAGTGGAACTCTGCCAAAGTTCGAAGGTGTACAACCGCTTGTCCTTAAAGGACTGATGTCTACTGTGAGCCACGAGTTCTCCATTGAGGTCCTATCAAGGATTACAGTGCCTTCGTGCGACTCTATATTTGGCGACGCCGAGACAAGACTCCTTATGCATATCACAGGTCTACTTCCTTGGCTTTGCTTGCAGCTGAGCCAAGACCAAGTCATGGTTTCGGCGTTACCACTCCAGCAGCAGTACCAAAAGGCATGTTCTGTAGCAGCTAACATTGCCATCTGGTGTCGGGCGAAATCGCTGGATGAACTGGCTACGGTTTTTGTTGCGTATTCTCGAGGCGAGATTAAACGAGTAGATAATCTCCTTGCATGCGTCTCTCCTCTGCTATGCAACAAATGGTTCCCAAAACACTCAGCTTTAGCTTTCGGCCACTTGTTAAGGCTGCTAAAGAAAGGACCAGTGGACTACCAACGAGTCATATTACTTATGCTCAAGGCATTGCTCCAACACACTCCCATGGATGCTTCACAGAGTCCCCACATGTACACTATCGTTTCACAGCTAGTCGAGAGCACTCTGTGTTGGGAAGCATTGAGTGTTCTGGAAGCCCTTCTCCAGAGCTGTAGCCCGGTACAAGGGGGTGGGTCCCATCCTCAGGATTCCGGTTACTCGGAGAACGGGATTGATGAGAAAACGCTTGTACCTCAGACTTCATTCAAAGCCCGAAGCGGACCTCTCCAGTACACGATGATGGCGGCAACAATGTCGCAAGCTTTCCCTCTCGGTGCAGCTGCAGCAGAAACAGGGATACCTCCGAGAGATGTGGCTTTGCAGAACACAAGGCTAATATTGGGTCGAGTTCTTGATAACTGTGCTCTAGGAAGAAGAGATTACAGAAGATTGGTGCCATTTGTCACAACGATCGCAAATATGTAAGTTTTTCCCCGTAAATTTTTGCAACCATTTTGGTTATTTGTATGTTCTTCACAAGTTTTTCAAGAAGCAATGTGTTTGTCTGTGAATAGTTTGGTGTTTTAGAGACTAACTTGTATGTTCACGCTTAGTGGAGTCCAATGTATTCCAGGCGTTTAACAACGAAAGTTTTATTATATGATGGGGTTTATTTTCTAGTGTTCGATCACTAAATGTAAGATGTATTATATCTTTTGCGTTAATAGTTCATCGATTTATTGTACTGTACAACTATTTCCTACGAATGGATATGATCTCTAAAGTTAATTATAACTCTTATTAAAAATATATGATGATCGTAGTAAAAGTAAAAGTGGCCCGTGTTCGGATCCGCTTGAATGCTATTGTGACATATCATTTGAGTACAACAAGTTTCTAAAGATAGAAATTATGTCTACGGTTTACAATTCTTTAAACAAATATGAAAAATAAAAGTATATAATTATTGGGTAGAGCTAATTGTTTCGCCGCATCCAAAATGAGAAATATATTATCTCTCCGCAACTATTTACTACAAATGGGTATGATCTCTATATTTATAACTCTTTTACAAACATATAAAAAAAGCAAACTGCATGTTTATAAAGAAAAACCGGTGGACAATGACAAAGTATGTATTGATAATGACAAAACCACTCAAAAGTGTGAAAAGTAGAAAGCTTCATATAAACCAAAATTTAAAGTGACATCATTTAAATGAGCTAAAATGTCCAAAACTATGGTTACACTGCTTAAGCATGAACTGTCTCTCTTACACTGGAAAAAGAAAAAAAGATATAAATCATGAACTGTCTCTCTTACAAAAACCTAACACTCTCAACGTAATCCGAAAAAACAGTTTCTTCCGGACCAAGAAGCCTAGAGTCAGAGCCTGCGTTTACATGAACCATAATTTTTCTAAAGCTATCCGTCTTGGGGTTGTAATGGAAAACATAAACCCCATTACAAGTGTAGCTCCATGGTACCAAAATAAACTCACCCGTCCGTGTAATGCCTCTGACTCGTAACATATTGTAAAATAAATTAGGAAATAAAGCCATCCAAGGTTCAATACTGAAAGTTAATATCCTCAACCATTCTTGTTTTTCAGCACCCTGATCCAAAACCCACACATCAAATGAAAATACAGTAGCTTTGAAGGGTATTGCTACGTTCCCCTCGTAGTTTAGAAGAAAATAGTTCCCGTATACTTGATAAGACAGATTATTGCCTGCGGGTACTCCAGAAACAAGATCCAACTTTTCAGACGTCAAATCAAATCCCATTAAGCTACGTTGCGACAAATTATTGCCCGTCTGAGAAACATAATAAACAACACCATCTATGCACACACCGTTAGAACAGGGACGGTGAGGAGTGCTACATTCTATCATTCTCCATGATTTTTGTTTAGTCCCCAATGTGAATACTTGATGTTGAGACGATGCGTTTTGCGCACGGCCATGCAGTTTTTCAGTCATGCACAATACTTTATACTCATCGTTAAGTGGATCATATCCGAAAAAACTTATCGCAACCTTTCTCCTGGTTTTGACTCTAGGTAAAGCTGTGCACTTACCCGTGGTGGGGTCAACTATGAACTGTTCTTGACCATACCCGACGCTTAGTAAGCCATTAACATAATGAGAGTGGTACTCTATGTTCTCAGGACATGGCAACGGAGTATGTGAGCGCGAGAGAAAAAACGATGATGATGACAAAGCCGACGAGAAGAAGTACCAATTTTCTTTTCTAGGATCCCACCGCCTAGAACCACGTCCAGAAGATCCTACTCGACTATCTAAACCACCGAAAGCGATTAGGAGTCGAGGCTGTGAAGAAGACCCTAACGGGAAAGAGTTGATGAACTCTTTACTGCGGATGATCCTTGCCCATAACTTGGATACTAGAAGAAACCTAGCCACAGATTTCGCAGGCAGTCTCCCAATAATCTCAAACACCAAGTCCTCAGGGATTCCATCAAAGTCTTCTTTCGAGGTTTGTGGATTGATGCTCACGGTGGTTTTGGTCTTTTTTCTGCGTGTGATCATGATTGTTTACAAACCCTAGCTAAATCTCTCTCTTTATGTCTACTCTCTCTCTGCTTGGCTCTTTCCTTTCCAGCGAGTATATCAAATTATCAATAAGGGAGTCAAACAATCTTTTCGATTAGATCCCAGAAACATCTCTTGGCCTTAGCTAGGTCTAACCCTAGTAGGTTCTCTTACTACTCCGTAAGCGTTAAATTGAAAAGGACGGCAAGGCCCACAGTTTGACAAATGGGCTTGGCCATCTAACCCGAGTGGCAAAGTGGATCTCGAATGTCCAAGCTCTGCCATTGGCTGCTCCATCTGTTAAGGTTAAGCTCGTCCCAAACTTCAATCCGTGTGACCATGGCGCCTGCAAGCTTGTCAAAGTATGGATCTTGGGAGCTCAGCTTCACCTTCATCATATTACCGTGAGACAACATGTAACCATACCCAAACCAAAAGCTGCATGGCATGTAAGAAGCTATGTAGGATATGATCCTATTGGAAATATATATATATATATATATATATATATATCTAAGTTACTTTGCATGTCAAATACATCCAATTCCGGGCCTCAAGTTCTTACATTATGAGCTCAAGAATCACGGAGAGTGATTAAAAACAGTCCTATATGCATTACAAGACATACAGTGGGAAATACATCAACGGGTTTATCTATTATGAAGCGTATATATTTAGGATATGATTTTTATCAAACTTTTGCCGCTAATGGGTCTGGTTCGTATAGTCCTGAAGGTGAAGATAAACAAATTATAATGAGCTTTGATGTGAGGTTTGAGAAGTTCAAACCAATTCAAATGCCTCCTAGTTGTACGCACAATACCAGACATGCTCTAGTGAACTATGGGGGAAAAGTAGCACGAGTTTGTCAAGAGTTATCTTCGATCAAGTTATAGATTCTCCAAGATGTTGAAAAAGAAAAATGGTCATGCAAAGAATTCCTTGTGCCTTTTCCTCCACAAGATCCTATTGAAACATTTGACGATCCTCATCTAAATGAGCAAAAAATAAACTATCTTCTAACTGATATCAATGATGATACCGGTGAATTTATTTTTATATCATTAGCAAGATGGGCTCTTCATAGAGAGGCGGGTGTCTTTTGTTATAATCCAAATAAAAAAAGTACGAGAAAGGTCACATTTGTTATAAGACTTAAGCGCGGTCATGAAATTTGCAGCCCTGTGGATTTTTCATATTGTTACTCTAATCACATAGAGAGACTCCATTTCTCTAAACGACCTTACTTTCTTGCATTATGTATGACTATTTCACCGAGGCATCAAATAAATATTTTATGGCCAACAGTTTGTGAGTAATTAGCAGTGCATTAGAAAGAATCTTATGGTTCGTTGATGAATGGTCCATAGTAAACAGTTAAGAGTTATAGTAAACAAAGAAGCATAATATTGGTCAACGATGAATCAATAATTAAAGCTGATTATATTGAATAAGAATGAGTTGATTTTCATTATATAAACTCAATTAATCATAGATTAAATAAAATAAAAAAATGAATGCTTTATAAATTAAATTCTGGGTATGCGATGAAGTTCCTAGGAAAAAAAGTAGCTGGGAGAATATTAAAAAGAATAAAACATAAATAGACCAGCACTGGTTATAAAGTAAACCAGTGGACAATGCGAAAGTATAATGAAAAAATACTCAAAAAGGTGTAAAATAAAAAGCTTCATAAAAACCAAAATTAATAAGTAGGAGATGATTTAAATTGACCTAGAGTAGTACCCAAAACTATGGTTACACTGCTTCAGCTTTGCCAAGACTATAATCAGCGGGAAGTGGTAAAAAACAGTATCGGTATCAGATATCATGAACTGTCTCTCCTACAAAAACCTAACACTCTCTACGTAATCCAAAAAAACTGTTCCTTCCGGACCAGGAAGCCTAGAGTCAGAGCCTGCGTTTACATGAACCATAATCTTTCTAAAGCTATCCGTGTTGGGGTTGTAATGGACAACATAAACTTCATTACAAGTGTAGCTCCGTGGTACCAAAATAAACTCACCCGTCCGTGTAATGCCTCTGACGCGTAACATGTAATGAAATAAAGCCATCCAAGGTTCAATACTGAAAGTTAATATCCTCAACCATTCTTGTTTTTCAGCATCCTGATCCAAAACCCACACATCAAATGTATATCTAGTAGCTTGAAAGGGTATTGCTACGTTCCCCTCGTAGTTTAGAAGAAAATAGTTCCCGTATACTTGATAAGACAGATTATTGCCTGCGGGTACTCCAGAAACAAGGTCCAACTTTTCAGATGTCAAATCAAATCTCATTAAGCTATGTTGCGAGATATCATTGCCCGTCTTAGAAGCATAATAAACAACACCATCTATGCACACCCCGTTAGAACAAGGACGGTGAGGAATGCTACATTCTATCATTCTCCATGATTTTTGTTTCGCTCCCAATGTGAATACTTGATGTTGAGACGATGCTTGCGTATGGCCATGCAGTTTTTCAGTCATGCACAATACTTTATACTCATCGTTAAGCGGATCATATCCGAAAAAACTTATCGCAACCTTTCTCCTGGTTTTGACTCTAGGTAAAGCGGTGGACTTACCCGTGGTGGGGTCAACTATGAATTGTTCTTGACCATGTCCGACGCATAGTAAGCCATTAACGTAATGCGAATGGTACTCTATCTTCTCAGGACATGGCAACGGAGTACATGAGCGCGAGAGAAAAAACGATGGTGATGACAAAGCCGACGAGAAGAAGTACCAGTTTTTTTTACTAGGATGCCACCGCCTAGAACGACGTTCTACTCGTCTATCTAAACCACCGAAAGCGATTAGGAGTCGAGGCTGTGAAGAAGACCCTAACGGGAAAGATGCGATGAACGCTCGACTGCGGATGATCCTTGTCCATAACTTGGATACTAGAAGAAACCTAGCCACAGATTTCGCAGGCAATCTCCCAATAATCTCAAATACCAAGTCCTCAGGGATTCCATCAAAGTCTTCTTTCGAGGTTTGTGGATTGATGCTCACGGTGGTTTTGGTCCTTTTTCTGCGTGTGATCATGATTGTTTACAAACCCTAGCGCTAAGTCTCTCTCTTTATGTCTACTCTCTCTCTGCTTGGCTCTTTCCTTTCCAGCGAGTATATAAATAAGGGAGTCAAACAATCGTTTTGATAGGACCCCAGAATATCTCTAGGTCTTGTTTAGAAACCCTAGCTAGGTCTAACCCTGGTAGAGTTCCCTTACTCCTCCGTAGGCGTTAAATTGAAAAGGACGGCAAGGCCCACAGTATGACAAATGGGCTTGGCCATCTAACCCGAGTGGCAAAGTGGATCTCGCCCGATTGGAGTCTATATCGCAAAAGCATATAAATCGGGAGCTCAGCTTCACCTTCATCATCTGCTAAATAATTTCTCCAAAGTGTGTGAAAATCCCTAAACAAAGCATACATTTTACTAAAATATAAACAGAGAGGAAATATCACATTTCTTATTAATTGAGACTAGAGGATTCTATTTCTCTCCTATCACAAGTGCTATAATGACATAAGCACAAATTTTAGAACCTTCTGGCATCAAATGTTATTAATAGTATCAGGCAATGATCGAGATGCTAAGCTTTGAGCAAAGGCTTGTTAACATACTCTCTGGTAGAAATATTTAGTTGCAACAAATATTTGTGAGTAAGAGAATTTTCAGGGTGGAGAGAGAGAATGTGTACATGGTAAATTAAGGTGTAAGATTTTTATTTTCATTGTAACAAGTTTCATGAGTAACTTATACAAAAATAACAAAAGTTTCATGAGTAAAAGAAAAACATTATCCATTAATCGTTGGAAGGGATAAAAAAAACATAGCACAAGAAGAATGATTATATGTATCAGATATCATGAACTGTCTCTCTTACAAAAACCTAACACTCTCCTCGTAATCCAAAAAAACAATCTCTCTAAGAGTAAGAGTAGGAGGACGATGCTTAACTGATGAGTATGAGTTGAAATTATAACCATCAACCTCAATACTTTTAAAACTATTCGTGTTGTGATTGTAATGGAACCATCTAACATGCTCTGAATAGGAATCTGCACGTACTTTAAGAATAAACTCACCCGTCCGAGTAATCCCTGTGAGAGTGACGCCGCCTCTATAACGAAATAAACTCGCCCAAGGTTTAAGACTGAAGGTTATTTTCTTGGACCATTCATGTATTTCAGCATCCTGATCACCCATAACCCAAACATCAAACGTAATTACATATCAATCCTACTCCGCAAGGGTATGGCTATCTTCCCCTCGTAGTTTATCAAAGTGTCAGCAGCTTGTAAGTCCGAGGGTAGACTAGTAAACCGATCCAACTCTTCAGACCTCAAATCAAATCTCATTAAGCTCGTTTGCCCTAATGGCGTGGAAGCAATATAGTAGACAGCTCCATCTAAACACAGGCCGTTAGAGAGAGGACTGTGAGGAATGCTAGAATCTATCATTCTCCATGATTTTGGCTCAGCTCCCAACGTGAAGACTTGATATTTTTGGTATGGACCATCACCTCGCTTTTTCGTCATGCATAGTACTTTGTATTCACCGTTAACCGGTTCATACCCGAAGAAGCTGCTTTTGGCGAGCAGTCCCGTGGCTTCGACCACTTTAGGTAGAATAGTGAAGTGACCGGTGCTTGGGTTGCATATGATTTGCTCTTGACCGTATCCAAGACTTATCAATCCATTAACATAATGAGAATAATAGTACTCGAGCTCATGACGACGATAATTTCCTGATACATACGTACCGGTTCTACGGTTAACTTGAGCAAATCCACAATGGTACTTTTGAGTAGACAGATCTATTGGGAACGAATGGGCAACACGTGATAGAAGAGACGTTGATGATGAGTAAGACGATGAGAAGAAGCGGCACTCCCAATCTTGGCTTTGCATCCCTAATGTAATGTCAACGTAGGCGACTAGGAGACGAGGCTGCGACGAACAAGACCCCAACGGGAAAGATACGATGAATTCTCGACTGCGGATGATCCTTGCCCATGACTTGGATACTAGGAGAAACCTAGCTACGGTTTTCACAGGCAATCTCCCAACGATCTCCATCACCAAGTCCTCAGGGATTTGATCAGCGCCAGAGTTGTTCGATTTCGTTTTTTTGACGCGTCTCCCCATCTTTGTCTCCACGCCGAAACCCTAAAACTCTTGTTTTGCTCTTTTCCAACGACAACAGTAAAAGACTATATATATATAAGTGTCGTATGGAAAGATAAATCGACTCGTTAAGTGGATCTTACGTAACTGGGCCGGATCTTCACGGAGATGCATGCACCTTTTTTTTTAATTAATTAAATGTATCGTTTACATTATGGGACTTTGGAGGTTTAAAGTGTCAATGAAAAAAAGTTATGGCATGAGTCCCATAACTTTTTTTCATAGTGGTGTATGGGACTTTTTTGTGATGACATAATGGATGATTGTTACTGAATGGGAAAGGCTTTTTATTAATGCAACAAAGAAGAAAATCTGAGAGAGTAGCAAAACAAAACCATAAAATAGAACTACAAATCCAATGAGAAAGTATTGAGGATGATGACAAACTGCTCAAAAGTTTTTAAACAAGAAAGCATCAGAATGATAATTTGAGCTAAAACAACCAAAACTGTGTGTGGTGGGTGTTTTTGTTTTTCTTGGCTCACGAACTGCTTAAGCATTGCCGTTGGCAGCTGCACCAGCAGGTGGGTTAAGCTCATCCCAAGCTTCAATCCAGGTGACCATGGCGTCTGCAAGCTTGTCAAAGTATGGGTCTAAGGAGCTCAGCTTCTCCTTCACCATCTTCGAGAGCTCAATGTAGCATTGTTGAACAGTTGTTGCTTCTTTCGACAGCTTTGCGTTCTGGAAGAAAGGAATGATCTCCTCCTGCCAGAAGATTCCCTTGTACTCCTTCTTCAGGTTCACAAACGGGTTGCTCGCTTTGCTGTGGTAAATGTACGGCAGACCCGTCTTCACTCCCAAGCCCAAGTGGTCACAGATCACCTATAAAAAGTTTCATCCCCAAAAAGGGTATCGCTAAGTGAGTACAGAGCATGTGCGTGTCATGACATTGAATCAAAGCCACACTGTTCATATCCTTTTTATTCCAATTGGAGAATGGCAAAAAGTGAGTACCTTGATGCACCAACCAGCCCACATATCGTCGTAGCGACCAATAGGTTGACCATCACCCATGAGACCGAAGTACATAGCTGGGCCAATCAAATCACGGTCAAAAGCCAAGTTCATGCCACACATTGGGAAAAGTGTGCCCTTTGGGATGGTCATGACAGCATCCACATACCTGACATTATCAAATGTTTAGCAAAGACCGGCATTTTTTTTTTTGAATACTCTGACACTGGTTATAGCAATAACAGTACTCACCTAGTGTTCCTCTCCTTAGGCTTCACGAGTTGGGTCGGGGCATCGTAATCAGGGATGTTGAGCCAGAGACCATGGGAAACAGCAGTGGAAACACCTTCACGAAGACTGAAAGGGTATCCACGGACGAAATCAGCGCCTTCACGGTAAGGGTCGTACAAGGTGTTGAAGAAAAACGGAGACGATGGAGACAGAAGGTTCTTGATGTGTTGCTCAAGAGCGTTCACTGCTTTCCCAGATGGGTCCTTGGCAACCTATTCACATTACGCATCAAAGAACCAAGCATTGAGTGAGAGAAGTGGCTAAGATCCAGACCTCAAAGATTACAATTCAAAAAAATTTGGTAAACACAAACTAAACAGAGCGTAATTGAGACTCATCCTTGGATATGCCCCACACAGATCACAAGAAAAGACGAAAAAGTGAAGAACAATGACGTGCAAGAATATCGTAAAGGTAGCTATAATGACACAGAAAGATCAGCCCAACAACAATATCATCAGCACAAGTGACAGCAGCTTTAAATTAAAAAAAAAAAAAAAAAAAGAGAAGTGAACACATCAGAAACCATGGCTAGTGAAAACAGATCGAGACTCATCAAAGCGGATCTAATCTGATACAAAACATTGAATTGCCTAGTTGATCTAGCAAATCGAACAAGGATTATCAATAATCATCAGATCCGTCAAATTTAGTCAATCGGTCACTTAATCTCGGATCAAATCTACGAAATTCAGGCAATGAGCTCAAACAAACCACACAAGCTGAAAAAAAAAACAGATCTGCAACTTACGAAGCAATCGTCATCAATGGTGAAGATGTACTTCTTCTTAGACACCATGTAGCCAAAGCACCGACAAGCGGAATCCTTGAACGAAATGCAAGAGGCTTTCGGTCCGAGGATTCGGTTGATGTCGTTCCTGTTGTAGAGCTCGTAGTCGTAACCTTCAGGAACATGAATCTTCTTCGACGGATCTCCGTCCTGGACGATGATCAGATGGTACGGCTGAAGAAAAGGCCTCCACATCTCGAGGAAATCGAGGTTTCGGATGGTCGGAATCACGATGTCGAGCACATCTGTCAGCAGAGGCGTCGGATTCACCGGAATTCCAACAGTGTTCGCCGGTTCAACCATGGTTCCAGGAGAGATGAGATCGGATCGCGTCGGTGGATATTTGCTGATGAGATGTGTTTTTTTTTTTGTTTTTTTTTTAGCTTTTGAAACTTTGATGAAACCCGTCGCTTTGATTTATACAGATCTGGCACGTGCTTCAATGACCGGCACGTGCTAGCTAGCGTTGACACGCGTCCGATGGAGACTCGTTTCAGCATGTCCAATCGGAAAAGCTTGTATGGCTGGAAAGTCAGTTTTCTATTCTGTCTTTTTGATGCCCGTACCATTAGGGGTTGTAATAATCTTAATTAGTTTATTTTATATAAATGCATTATAGATAAATTCCAAAACCAATTTGTGATGATGATACCGAATATTTGACCCAAAAGGATTTAAATCATATATTCAATTTGTGATGATGATACCGAATATTTGACCCAAAAGGATTTAAATCAGAATGATAACATGTCCAGCTGGTTTAAATCAATATATGATATAAACTGATCCTAAACCAATTTGTGATGATGATACCGAATTCATTTTTATTAATTTATGTTTCTAGATTAAACTGAATTTAGTACAGTAGTTTGATTCTTTTTTTAATCAATTTATATAATAAGATTATTTTTCACAAAAAGGCTAGTAAGAATTTGGTTTTTATTTTCCGGACAAAATTAATAATTTAATTAAGATTCATTTTGCTTTTTCAGTTTTATTTCGGATTTAATACCGTAAAATATAAACAAAAAAAAAACTAAACTGTCAAACGCTGATGCATTAACTATGGTTGATTGAAAAGTTGAACTATAGCATTTGTTACAAAGTTAATTCATGGCATTTATAGTTGCACTTTTAATGTATCTGCTATTCAAATGAACGTAGATCTAAGAAACTGAGCAATAAATAATATTTGCTGGATGGATTGTAATATTAGGTTGCAAAATAAGTTTCATTCCGTAATTTACAGCTTCTACTTTAGAGAAAAACTGGAAAAAAAATATTTAAAATGAAATACTAGTTTTGTATTTGGTGCAAATGTGAAGATAAAATGCAATAGTTAATTAACAATTTAATGAATTCGTTGTTTCACTTTGCTATGTAACGAAGTGATAGTGCATGTGGATGTGGATGTAGATGTGGGCTTCAACATTTTACTTTCCTTCAAGTTAAGTTTCGTATGTATTATTAATGTATTCATATCGATCGTATTTGTCGACAAAAAAGGACAAAAATCATATTTTTAATTGATTCGCTTTAGATTCGAATCATTCGATAGAAACTCTGATTTTTTTTTTTTGTTCGCAACAAATTCTCAATCAATTTAAAGAATGAAATAAAAATGATAAAAGTTGAAGCGTAATCCTTACGTCGTGGTCGTGAACCGCGCTCGTCGATGCACGTCGTCTATGATATTATTGCATAAAAATCATGTAACTATCACATAAACGAGAAGACATGCACGTAGTTGACGGGACATGTGACACTTCATAAGTATTAAATAATATTTTAAAAACTCTGCCGAAAATAATGCATTATATCATGGACATATTTGATTTTAGGAATACAAATTCCATGAAAAAATATGCTAAATAAAAGGAATATCATCAAATTTTTTTGGATGATATTTCAATGTTTATCTTCAACTTTTCCGTATATGTGAGACATTTTTATTTAACTAAGATTACATAACCATGACTGGTCCATGAGATGCATATGGGTTAAGACAAAACATGAGATATGTTAATCTTGATAGGCTTTGGTTGGTCCAAACATCCATAATCTTATGAAGTAGAGCAACATATTAAAGTGTATGGGCTAAAATGCTAAATACAGCCTAGTAACTAGTAAACGTTCTTATTGTTTGCCGAAGGTTACACACTACGTACGAGAATTCATAGCAGCAAGTTGGGTGTTTTAAGATTAGGCACTTGATAGGTCAAGACGCTGTAGCAAGAATGGATATGGTTATAGTGAGCTTGATAATGATTTTGATTGTATCGACGAGAGTGAGGATTGTTTTTGGAAGACAGTGATACTAATGCTAATGAGAAGCCACTTCATTCAAAACTAGATTCGATTTTGGATGTTATGCATACACATAGTCACATACACTACATATGATCGTAAGATATGGTGAAGTGATAGCAAAATGGGATTCCAAAGGCCACTTAAAGTGCACTTTTCATAGTTTTGAAGCTTCTTAACACTCAGGAGCTAATAAAGCAGAAGAGCACAATCTCGAATATTCTTCTGCTGTAAGAATACACTCCAATAAGCAAAGTTGAAAGAATGATTACAATAACGGAACTCAGACTTCAGAGCTGAAAGAATGGTCCGATTGTTAAAAGGGAAGCTCCCAATAACCGAAGATTTGAATTGGGGGTTTATGCGTCTATTCGAGTTAGTCGAAGGAGAAAAACCAACGAATAGTAGTGAGGAGGCTTTTTTCTAATCTTCTATTGCACACAGACGCTCTGAAACAAAATACAAGCAATAATGTATAAGTCAGAGAAGGAGAAATAAGCATTTCAAAAGCCGAATCTTGAATGTCTTACTTAGGTATTCGTATGTCAATATCATTGAGGTTCCCCAAGCCGACATGCTGAAGAATCTTGGACCCAATCCCCTATAGAAGCCTTTCCACCCATCTTGTGCTATCAGATCCTTCACCACTTGTTTCGCTGAAGGTCTATTTTCTTGGTGTCCCATGACCTGCAAAGAGATTTATATGTTTTGATTATTCTAGTTCCAATATGTATGTTGCAGTACATGGAGTTCCCCTGATTGAGAACCCAGTACATCAGACCCGAGAGCTTGTTTATCTTAATGAGAGCTAAACAAAAGCAAAACAAATCAGAGTTTTTCATTATGAATTGGAATGGTTAGTACCTGCAGTCGCGTTTTGATTGTGTCCAATGGTGTTGTGATTGAGGAAGCTGTTGCGCCGGCGATAATTCCTCCAATAGCCTGGACGAGAACAATTTTTGACTGACTAGGAGCAGCAGTGGCCTCCGAGTCACTCCCATAGCCTAAGAATCTGCCCAACAGTAGCAGATGTTGGATCACTGAACAAACACGAGCTTTGGTAGCAAATGCAAAGACCGAAACGAGGGTTTTTGCAGTCAAACTAAAACGAAAAGTATCATCAATTTATCACAACATTCATGTCTAACCTCCAGATAACACGCTGGCTTGAACCATAGCTGGCCCACCAAGCAGCACTTGAAGGAGAATAGGTCATAACAGACAAGCCAAATCCCCTGTATAATCCCCTTACGCCATATGACTTGATGATTTTTGTGGCAACATCAATGCCACCAGTATAAGTAGCATGACCTGAGTATCCTTGCACCATCAACTTTTGGCTAACCTGCAGCAGATAGGAGACATTAGGTTAACATTCACAGCATGAGCTGCTCATCTTACAAAGACGGTCGTGGTGTAAATTATACATACAACATCGATTGGGACAAACACGGCCTGTGAGAAGAGAGATGCTGTCATGCCGGCTATGCCATTCGCGATGGCGGCTTGTGTAGGTTCGTTTAACTCGAAAGGTGCAACCAACTTGAAAGCAGAAATCTTTGTGGTCTCCAGAGCAGTGAGAAATATGATCCTTGCCGGAACTGCACCTGTAATTACAGTACCAAAACCTCGGTACAGACCAGGAACACCGTCGTTCTTCAGTAATCCTTTGATCACAGAGAAGGCACTTCTCTCAGCGATTTCTTTAGAAGCAACTTGAAGCCTTGTTTTCACAACGGAAACTGGGTACAGAGCTACTGTAACACCAGTGAAGAGGCCAGCTCCAACAACGTAAAACCTCTTTTTGTCAAGCCTGAATGAGAATGAGCACGAATGAAAAAACTATTTAAGCAACTTCTCTCTAACTAACATAATGTTTTCTGATAACTAACGAATAAGAACACTATCATTTGATGGATGATTCTTCCAGTAACACTTGGAACTAGCCAAATCCGTAATTGTTTCAATTTTTGTGGCTCCTTGCACGATTCCAATAAACTTTCACGTAAAACTTTAGATTTATACACCTTAAGACTAAATTTTTGCGGCCTCTCTGATTTCTCAATAAAAAAATGACATTGATTCAACCACACCAGAGAACAAATAGGTAAATGGCTGAGAATCTGAAATCGAGCTATCTATTGAGCAAAGAGCCCTATGAACATATCATTTCCTGTAAATTTCGGAAATCTTTGATTACCTCCACCAAATGTTTCCGCTAAAACAGAGTGCGATATCCGTTTCGATTCCAGTAGCTAAGGAAAACCGAAAAGAAGAAAAAAAAAAAATCCACCACAGAACCAATCACAGAATCACGAAAAACTGGATCGAAGCAACAAACGATTCGGACTAACAACGCGATGAAGAACGAATCAAAAACAAGAAAAACAGGCGGATCGATTCATGGAAATCGGAAACGTACTTGTCCCAGTTAATCTCCGTCTGTCCAAAAGATGCGACACGAGAAGTCGGCGGCGTGTTCATGACTCTCACGGATGCGGCGAGACTGAGTTCGAGGCGAAATTACCTAATCTCCCGACGACTCAGGAAGACATCTGCATCAAGCGAAACCCAGTAGATGACGGCGAAATGAGAATTCTATTTGCAGATTTCTTGGAGGCAAATTCAACAAACTATGATGGAATTCGTCAGGAGATGAAAATACTTTTCACACACACATAGGAGAATTTAAAAACGCAGACGCGTTTTCAACCCAAACTTTAGCGTTTGCTCCGCGAAGTTTTCAATCAATGGGCGTTAAATCGGGTGGGCGACTGGCTCGCAAATATTTTATTTCACAAATATATATTATTCATTTTACAATTCACTACAAAAAAAAATTAAATATATTTCGAAGAAATATCTTCCAACAAAAAAGTTGCTTCCTCAAACAAAACGCCGTTTTTGACCTTTCACCTTTTCGGACCAACGAATATAATAACGCCGTTATACACACGTAAGTATCAAAAATAAACAAAGGAGGACTAAATTTGGGCCGATAGTATAATGAGTTTTTATGGGCCCAATTTAATATGTTAGTAGTCAACTATTATAGCCTCGTTCTTTCATCTTCCTCAGTCAATGTTTCACTTTCACATGAGTAAACCAAAGCAAATGGCGTTGAAACGATCAGGAAGTACACACATACTCTAATCATTTTCTCTTACAAAAACCCGTTTTTGTTCTTCAAATTTACCAAAAGTAAAAGACAAAAAAGACAGTTTCTGGTACTGTTTCTGAAACCCAGAAGGATCAGATCGAATCACCAGATTGAGACGAAAAGAAGAAGAAGAATCGTGAGTGATAGTGTCGAGAGAGAAGCGAAGTTTCCTCGTGCAGAGTTTGGCAGAAAAGGGTATGAATCTGGTGGAGGTAACATACATTCATCGCCATTAAAGTAAACTTTTCTAGGGAAAGCCCAACCTTGCTTGAAAGTAAAAGTCTTTTGATCTTTCTGCAGCAAAACCTCTGATTGAACATTCCCTGAAGGCCCAGCTTCCATCAAGAGATCATTGTAAAATTTCGTTCCAAAGAACATCCCAGTATCATCTGCATAAATAAGATTTAAGAAATTAGTCTTTTCAATGTCTGGTTATTAAAAGCTGTAGTGACTAGTGAGAGAGGACTTACTTATGGATCCATAAGGAGCAACTGATTTGTAATCAAAGCTGAAAACTTGAGTGACATTGTTGAGATTTGGGTGTTGAACTGCTAAAGTCCATAGTGTATGATTCATCCGGTAATTGAAATTAGTGATGGCTATCTTCACACGCCAATACTCTTTATAGTTAACCTTAACATGCCAGTGAACTCTAACGGGGCACATATGATGTGTGCATTGTAGCAAAGGAGCGTTGTCTTTTCTCGGTGTGTTGACACCTTTCTTGGTTAGAATCTTAGAATCAGCCCTGCAAGAAAAATAAAGATAATGTCTTGTCAGTTTAGGAGACAAGGAAAGAGTTTCGAATTTAATTGATTTGTATTTTTGTCCGTTTTGCTCACTTGACGCAGCTCCTTTTGTTTTCGCAACCACATGCACAAGACGGGCAAGGAGTTATGGTGTCGTTGTAGAAAGAAGAGAAGGAGACGCAACAGCTTGGATGCTTTCTCGCTAGAAACTGTGAGTAGGTGCAGGTAACGTTCCATGTCACTACAGAAGCATAAGTTTGAAATCATGTTTAGAGATCAATTTGAAGATGATTCTAATTGCATCTAAAAGCTACATCGTTTGGCTACTCTCTACAAAAATTATGAAAGTTGTAGACCAAAAGCAAGTAAAATGAAAATTGAGGGTTTCAAAATGGATCAGAACAAGTTACGGTTTATGTTTTTCTAGATTTACCCCTTTATAAGTTTACTTACTCAAAGCTTGTGTTTTTCTCCGTTTGTCAGTCGTGAGAAAAACGGTAGATGGCACGATTTTGGCAGGACCGCAAGTGTAACCAGGCCCGGGACCAAGCAGTGTGAAGTTCTTAGGAAGCTTGACAGTCTTGTTTGTAGTTCCGGCCAGACCAACACTAACCTGAAACTGTGATACAGCGGATGATGGATCTTGACCCCAAGCTCCAACTACACCGCCTTTGCAGCAGTTTGAGAACTGTTGGTTGTAAGGGACATTTGGCAAGAGATCAACGACTGTCGGGGTTTTCTTACAGCAGTGAGGTACGTTTCCCTTGAACTTGGAACAGTCTCCTTGCTCTGTTGTCTGCGCACCAACCATTGACCAAATCACTTCTTTCTTCGCCCATGCCCAACCCAATGTCCAACCCGGGTTTTGTATGTGCCGGTACATTTGGAAGTTGTTCATAGTTACCGTCGCCTGCAAAAATGCAGAGATGATGAGAGTTTGTGCAAGTTTCAAAAGCGCATACATACTCACGCAGAAGATTCTTACCACATAGCCATCTGCTGTCCAAGACATGATATCCCATTTGATTGTAATGTTCCCATTGGGATCCAGTGGATCATATGCAGCTGTGATAACAAACAAAGAATCAGAGAAGAAGAAGAAGAAGAAGTTGTGGCTTTGCAGATAGCGGGCGAAAATGAATATCTAGAACTCACATGCGCTAAAGATGATCATGAAGAAGCAGAGGCATAAAAAGAGCTTCATCTTGTGTGAATTTCCTAAGAAAGATCTCTTAGGAAATTGATTCTTGGTACTGTTATTTAACCTCAGTTTTTTATCTTCTTCAAGAATCTGAAATTGATGTGTTTATGGATTTAAACAGAAGCTTTTCGCAGATTATTGAAAGAGTCTTTTTGGTCTGAAGATGGGCTTTCACCTACTTGTTGTTGCATTCTCCAAATTTATTCTTTCTTGTTTACCATAACTTTAAGCAATGTTTTATGGTAGTTGATAATAAAACAGCAACAGAAGCTGACGTGTACTTATCTGAACACAACATCTCAACTGTCAACGGAAACCCTAATGATTCAGAGATGAGAAGAGAGAAGTTAACTTGGGGTTGAAGACAAAAAAAAAAAGTGGGGACTGGCCATGAGTCAACTTCTGACACAAACATACCTCCCAACTTAGCTTTCCTATTTTCTCCTAAAAAATAAAATTTCCCTTCTAAATTTTATTCCCAGTAATGAAAAAGACATTTCCCTTCTAAAATTGCAACATCTTAAATGATTTATGCACTTCATCAATTCGAAGAAAACATACGAAGTTATGTGATTTCTTGACAAGTCCAGTTGTGTTTTATTTACCCTCAGAGATCAGCAAAAGCATATTGTAATTCCCCACCATTAAATTGGCAAAAGCATACGTAGAGGTCAGTAGATGAAGCAAAGATGGACCTTTGGAGTTCGGCTGAAACGTGTGAGAGGCTCGGCAGAAGAAAACTCCTTAAGAGAAAAATGTATACAAAGTCTCCTCCGCATAACTTAAGTGACAAATAGAGAGACCAAGACAAAGAAAGAAGCCTAATCAAAAGATCCAACGGTGAAAAATAATCTCTCCAGAGAATACAATAAACGGCTTTTGCGATGACAAAAATCGGTCTTTAAAATTGAGAGCTTCAGCGGACAGGCAATCCCTGAGTTGCTGATGATTGATTAGTACCTTCCTCTGTTACCTTGTTTGCTTGAATTGTGCTGATGACATTCCCAATATTCTCCTGAACAAACACAAAATGACATGATACAATAAACATGTTATACATTGCATAAGCATTTTCAACACCGATGTATTTTATAATCGTGGGTTTGTGTTTACCCGCCAAGCTGCAAGCTTTGTTCTAAGAGATTGCCATTGCTTTTGTCCAAATTCACGCTCGGCACAGCGGCTGAAATATGAAAAGTATGAGTATATGTGTGACTTTACACAGATGAACCGAAAGAAAGATAAGCGTTTAGAAGAACTTGCCTGACAATTATAACTTGGTTCATCTGATCCATCTTACAATCAACCAATTTTGCGGTTATTGCCTTCACCACCCACAGTTCAATCTCCTCGTCAGTTACCTGTATCACGGCAAATTCTATGAGTCTTGAGAAGCAACGAAAAAAAAAAAAGTTATCAACGTTTTCTGTCTTGTTCAAGCCAAAAGAAGTTCACCTGTAGAGTGTTCTTGATAGAGGCATAAGGTATCTTGCCAGATTCATTTGAGGCCAAATCCACCAGCGACAGCAATCTCATCTTCGCTACACAGTCCTCCTCGACAAGCCCTGCGAATACCATCGATGGCTTATCACGCTGAATACTTAAGAGGGTTCACTAAAGAACGAAGGATTCATCTGGACTCTATGACCGGACAAGAAGAGTACCATGGGTCTGCAGAAATCCCGAATTTGCATTTTGGAATTCCATGTATGCATCCAGCCTCTGAGTAAGAAAGATCTTCAGTAGCTGGTAAACTGGTGCATTCTCAGGATCCTTCTCCAATTGTGCAACGGCCGGCATCTCTAATAAATCACACTGCGATTCCAAAATCATGGATGTGATTTCAATTAAAGTACTTCCAATGAACAATAAGCAGTAGTTAATACTTCCAATGACAGTAGCAAGCCAAGAGCAGGAATCTTTACACTTTCAAATCAAATGATGCTTTATGAACATGATACCTGAAAAATACTGGGAGCCTTGACAAATTCAATAACTGCTCGTACAGCTTCCTCCTTGGCTTCACTCAGGACCTGAGTATCCTCGTTGGAGAAAGTCGCCAAATATTTTGTCACAAACTGGAGGGATTCTTTCGCCAAGCTGGAATGAATATTGGTTATAAAACCCATGAGACCATTGGTATACCTAAACAGAAAATAGAAGAAAGAAAAACTGTTGCAGTACCTTTTATTTTCTCGTAGCACATTAGCAATGGCGAGAAATAGTTCCCGCTGATCTTTGATGTCAATACTCCACTCTTTCAAGAAGCTGTCGATCTTCTTAAACGAAGGCACTATATACTCAGTGACCTTACCATTCACAGCCAGTTCTAGAGCTTTCATGTACACTTGGAAACGAGCGTTTGAGTGGTCCAGCAGATTATATAGGTTGCAGAGGCTGTACAGAGACAAACAACAAATGAGAAACATGTTATCATATATGCTCGAAGAATCCTGCAACACATTAGCAAATAAATGCAGAGAGAGAAACATATGACCATACATCTTCAAACGCAACGAAGCTTTGTCATTCGGCTGTTGAACAACCTTGGAAGATATCACTTTCACCATCTCAAGGACTTCCTCAGGACTATTCACATTCTTGACAAGGCTGCAAATTATGGTGTAGACACACTCAAGATCTGGTAAAGAGGCAAACAACATCAAATTATTGCCAAGAGTATATATATAGTATGGCCGAAAAAGGAATGTAACAAACAAATGGGCCAAATGCTGCAATGATAGAACGATAAAAGACTGACCTTTCTCAGAGATATTGGATGATACCAAGTCAGCTGAAGTTACCATTAACGTAGCCAAATCGAGCCACCGTTCCGCTACTATAGACTCCTCTGCCTCCCTGCAGAGTCTGGAAACTTGTGGCTCTGCAGCCTAAGCAATGAACACAATCGTTAATCGAACAGTTCCACATTGCGGCAAAATTCTTATCATGTGAGATTGTTATAGTCAATTAGTCATAGTAGTAAGAACACTAAATTGCTTAATTCGAATAGTTTCAGCTGGATAAGAGACAATACTTCGACAACATCTAATTCCTTATAAATTCCCAGAAAAAAATAAAAAGAACAAAGTCTAAGCGATTTCGGAATCTGATATATATGCATGGGTGATGGGATCGTCCATAATAAATCTAAATATACAATCGTATGCACATGTTTATGATTTAGAGAACAAGGCTGTACCTCGGGACCCGCATCGGCCCAGGCAAGCTGGGAAGTGAAACGGACGATCGCGAGCGAAGGATCTTCTTCGGAGGTAGGAACAACTGTCGTCATTTTTTCCGCTGTGGTTCGAATCTCCGCTTCTTTTCTCGCCTGAGTCAAATCCTTAATCCGTAAGAGAAGTTCTTCAGCAGCCGAGCAGAGACAGACGAAGGAGCTAAACAGAAAACCCTACGCGACGCTTTATGTTTTTCCGGTTAATAATTAAACCGGATCCCGGTCCAACATTAAAATTAAACAAGGACGGGGAAAAAACGGTTTTGTACAATCACACGGCACATAAATTAGCTCCTTTATACAGCAATCTCTCAAGTCGTTCGAGATATCTATTGCAGTTTAAGATTCAGTAACAGAAGAATATTCAGTATTCTTTTTGCCAATAATTTTAAAGCAAGAGTGAAGATTGACTTTGAGAATTGTATCATTAACGAAGATTTGTTGCTCTCCATATACAAAGGTTCTTTGATCACTGAAACTTAAAGACGCTGTCGTTTTGACTTGGAACATCCATGTTCAGACAAGTACTGAAGTAGTCAAAGAGATGGTGATTGATTGGTAAACTAAATCCTAAGCTACGCATAGACCATACATTGGATAAAAAAAAGATTCAGAATCTATTCTTGAATTATCAAGGTTTAACGAATGTTTTCAAGCTTAGAAACTTAGAAACGCATTATAAAAATTGAGAAAGCTTTCTAGCTTTGAACCATAGGTTGACACATTCTTTTTTCAAGAACACAAGAAACGGCCAAATCCAAAACATTCCACAATAAATAATCGATCACCGGTTTAAAGGATAGGAAATAAAGTTACAATTTTTACACTTTTTTCAAGGGTTCAAATGCAGAGATCGTCGTATGAAAAATAAAAATCATTTGCTAGATCCAGAGGGACCAGATCCAAACAAGTAATCCAGAGAAGATCCTCCACCTGGTGCAGCATGAACCTTCGTAGATGGTCTCTCCTGTTTCTCAAACCAAAAACCACATTTTGTCCGTCTAAATCAGTTTCGAATTATAATTCTCATACATTTAAACTCAAAAGATCTTTAATCTTATTACCGTGAGGAAGTTGCCACAGTTTTGTCCGTCTGATCTGAAGTAGTTATTAGGGCTTCCTCTTACACCAGCCGACATCTGCTTCTTCTCCTCCTCCGTCTTGTTCTTATCTCCGATAGTGGTGGTTGTGGTGGTGGTCGTGGGTCTACCCCCAGCTCCATCGGTGGTCGTTGTTGTGGTCGTGGTGGTTGTAAAACTGGTGTTGGCAATGGGCTTGTTGGGTTTGGCAACACACCCGCCGGATCCAAAAAGATAGCCAAGAGAGCTCTCGCCTCCGCCGCTGTTAAGTCCTCTAGCTTTCCCCATTCTCCGGCGAGAATATTCCGCCGCCGATACTTGAAAATTCAACAATGTGTGACATTAGATTGAAGAATCCAGATCAATAAATCTATAATGAATTTGGATAACTGTGAACCATCGAAGACACATAGGAAAGAGTTACGATTAGTGTTTTTTTAATATAATTACCTTTTTCTGGTTTTGTTTCCTCTTCTTCTTCTACGATTGGCCGCAAGACAAGGCAGAGAAACAGAGGAACAAGGAGATACACACATGTACATATATATACACGTGTAAGACAATGTGTGGTGAGAAAGAGGCACCAAGTTATGGTAAGCACGTGTGGTGGTTAAGTGTTGGTGCGTCACTTAAATTTTTACCGGTTTTAGGATCAACCGATTAAATATATCAAGAGACAGTAGACGTAATTACTAATTACATTAGAGAATTGACCACTAAGACATCAAATTACTGCCAATATTTTGTTATTATTTGTTAGTCTAATGTTTACAAGTGGGACGAATGTTTGACAAAACAATGTTTGTGACTGTGACAATTTTGTTTGTTTTGGTGTAAACCCGTTTATAGATAATTTTGTTTCTATCTTGTATATAATACGTTCTTATGGTTATGTATTACTATATCATAAAAAGGCTGGAATGTCCAGAATAACAATGACAACCCAAAATTATATTACATTGTAGGTAGCGAATAGAGGCAGGCCATTATGCAAGATGTATATTATTATTATGTTCTTCTTTTACTAGTCTTCTTCCCTAACATTTCTCTTCTATCACATGATGATTTGCATATTCAAATGGGAGTTCACAGCTAATAAGTAGAATGTCGAAGCAATAATTGTGTTATCTACATAGCCATAATTACAGCTATACATAGAGACACATTCAGAATATTTTATTGAGAAACATAAAAAAAAAAAAATACAGTTTCTTGGGATTTTGGCTACTTGGGGTATGTAATAAAAAAAGATTGTTCGAAATGTTACAATGGGCTTCGTGTGCTCTAGAGAAAGTTAAAAAGAGAGTACATCTAAAATATAGAATACAAATATAAGCCCAATGGTTTTGAGATTCTTTAATTTAATTGGCCTGCTATTCGCTACAATTATCTTTTCATGTGTTTTTTTTTTTTTTGTATAGCTTTTGGAATTAAAAAATTCGAAGTTTTGTTCATAAGAAAACAAAAAAGAAAAGAAAATTCGAGGTTTATCAAGTTAGTGCATATTTTTCGGAATTACTCTCTTTTTTGTCAACTTTTTCTGAATTGTTTTCTTTTTTAAGTTTCTGATAAATAAACCCAAAAAGAGAATAAAAGTTTCCCAAAACTCTGACAAAGGAGGTAACCACAAGACTTCTGAAAGGGTTGTGAGTGAGAGCCCATGACTTCAGGGACCATCACAATGTGTACGATCATCATCATGATCTTCATCATGACCATTATCATCATCATCCTACGGACGATATTTTCTCGTTGACTTAGATTTATAAGTGACGTTGAAGGATGGCAATGGACATGTGAAATACTGAAGAAAACCCTCACTTTTTACATCTGAATTTCTCTGCTTCATTTATGAAAAAAATAATATATATTGTTTTTTAATAGTGTTTCACTATAGTACTATAATTTATATTATTTTTGTGGATAATAAAACAAATCAAGATGTTGGACCAATCAAAAAAATTGGACCAGAAAAAAAAAAACAAATCAAGATGACATGACTTGAGTAATCAAATAAATTTTGTTATAGTTAAAGGCGGTAAGATCGAGGCTAATGAGAAAATGGCATCATGCATATCTTACGTTTTTCTATAACCATTCAAATAAGCGTTACCACTTACAATCACCATTTGAGTTAGCACCCAACACTTATAACCATCATTCAAATGATACAGTGTCAATTACATCTAATATCCTTTTAGTGACTGTAAACGATTTTTAGTGGCTTCGTTTTATCATTTTGTAGAGTTAAATATAGATTTTGAGAGTGACAAAGAAAAGTAATAAGAAGGAGTTACGTTCCATCGTTTTGGCTGAGAAAAGCATAGGGTGCTTTCAATGTGGTTGTGTTGTGTATACTAATTATATTGTTTCCCTCAAATGTGTTCAAATAGATACATTTTGGGAAATTAAATGAAAACTATAGGAGATGGATTAGAGAAGTTCCAAAGGTACACAGCACAACTTGTGCGCTTTTTAATTAGCTTACGGATGCAGATAAATAGGGGAAGCCCATATGATTGGAACAACTTGAGGATTAACCTAAGAAAAAAAAAATCGAGGAGTATGTAGAGTTAAGATTATTTTTTTAATTAAACTTACTAGAAAAAGTTGATCTTATGAAGCAACAATTTGGTAAGAAAACTAGTTCTTATTGATTATAGACAAGACGAATAACAGATACATGTGATAGATTTTTAATATAATTAAATACTTGTGATGTGGATTAAAATCCATATACGACATCCATTTAAGCAGATCAAATTCCAGCAAACAAAATCAAATCGTAAAAGTGAAAAGATTGCTATAATCATTATAGAATCCTTGATAGACGTCGTCTCTCATCAAATAGACCGACAAATGTAGATACACAAACCCTTCAGCAAAACAAAAAGATTGCGAGTATACGTCGTTGGTTTAGTTTAAATATTTAATCTAGCTAATCTTAGTTAGTTACGAGCAATTTCATGATTTGATTTTCGTACTTTCCAATGAGGCATTCATCGTAAAAAGAGTTTGGTAGTAGTGGGGCAGATTAAGATTATATGCTTAGGGAATATCAAAGTAATTATATTTTTTTAATTAACCACTAGATCCTCTCACCCGAAAAAACTTCAGTGCTGGCTCATATAATATAAACCTCTTTTATATTATAATTTTTTGAGTATATATGAAGGCAGCACCATAATTGACATGTGCATATGATGAGAACCTATTATTTAATACATTAAAATTTAACATTGCTGCTTTGATTGGGTAACTTTCGTTTCTTAGATTTTTCTTATTTTCCTCTTTAATCCATACACCATAACATTGATAATGTACCTAATGGTAATGGCTTGGTTCAACTTCCAACCAATGCTCATTGATAACATATTTTAGTAAATAATTATCTTGGACCATGTATATGAAAACCAAAAAGTGAATCTTACGTAGTTAATATAGGTCTTTATCACCTCATATATCGATCTAGATCACAAGTCGACATTGGAAATTATTTTTAGTCAAGTGATCGACTAAAGAACTACGTACTGTTTTTATTTTATTTTCTTTTTGGTTAAAAAAAAACGATTGCGCTTTTATCTAATCACTACAAGTACTGCCTAAAAAATTAGGAAATATTTAAGAAACGGTCTCACGAATCGCATTTCTATGTCAGAATTTATGACTTTGTCTGCCTATTTGCATACACATATAACCAAATTAATTACATTTTCCCTAGTATTTAGCTTTACTTAATTCCTTTTTTCGTCAACAGCTTTAATTAATTCATATCCACAGTTTTTTTAGTAAGTACACACTTTCTCTAATTCATTAAATTAGATGTCCTGCATTCTTCATACGTACTTAATACTTATGCATGTAATGTTGCTCGTAAAAAAATTAAGGGAAAGAAACCTAAAATGGATACTGAGACTTATCATCAAAGAAACCACACTATGCGGTTTGATTTTATTTGAACTTATTTGCTAACAAATAGTGTTCGTATATTATTTCAATCAAAGTTGAATTTTGCTTCATGTGATTTTTTTTCTCTAGTACAAAAAAAGAAGTGATTTTGTTTCTCTTGTATTTACTGTTGCACTTGGCCAATTGTTTCCCACTACTTTTGCTGTTTCCAATTCGTAGGTTTACTTTTTTTTACTTGTTCTTTTTGTAAAACCCCATCTAAATCACTTTGCAACATCAAACATTCATATGTATAATAGTAGATGTTATTTAGTTGTTGTTATATTTTATTGGTCATGGCATATATATTGGACTTTTAATGAATTTAGTTGATTCTCTATGAATGGCTTTATTTTACATGATGTCATAGTCATAGTCATAGATGATACATATTGGCGTGATTGATATGTGTGTGATACATGTATCGATTTGGGGATTAAGGGTCAATGCAAAAAGTCAACTTGGAAAAGCATATTACCAATTTAACTTCTGAGTTCGTACCCTCTTTTTCACACATTCTAAACTTTCTAAAACCAATATCTTTGGGAACGAAAAATATCTTTCATTCTTTCATAAGTTTAAGTAATTTTACGTTTGTATACATTTTCATTTTAACAGGAAAATCAAGTTCACCAACTCATAGAGGATTAATAATCTTATTTTGTTTGTATGGTACATAAGTATGATTTGCTTTTAACAGATAAGTAAGTTACGGTTATATAAAGTAAAATGCATACACTATGAACCGTTTCCATATGTTTTTACTTTTTACAGATTACACAATTGTAGAGAATTGTGAGTTAGTTATGTTCGGTCAATTCACTATTCTGCTTAGTTTATAACACTATAATATAAACTTTACCATCGTCTTGAATATAAAATTTGTTTGTATTTTACATCAAATTCATCACATTTCCAAAGACTTAATCAGTGTACTTTGACCAAAAAAAAAAAAAAATCACAGTGTAAAATTATTTAAGTTGTTTTTGTCAAATAACTTAGAATTTTCTCGATTCCTTACAAATTCACAATTGAGTTGTTTTGTTTGAAAAAATACATTTCACATTGACATAAAGTCATTAAATATGTCATTCTATTCTTCATATTTTGTTATTTCTCGGACCTTAATCTTTTCAGAAACAGTAGAATTCGTCTTAATTAATACTTATGGAACTCGTATTTAGAAATGTATATTGGATATTCGAAATAACCGATTAAATCACTATAAATGAGAATAAGAATCTTAAACACGCTTGGTAACGACTAACGTGAGTGTAGATGATATGATGATTCTTCATTCGCAACTCTCACTAATTGCCCCATGTGCAGCATATTCCTTGGTTACTTCCAACTTCCACGGCCTGAAGCTTTTTTTTATTATTATAGATGATTAAATAAATTAAATTATTTTTTAATATAAAATAAATAAGTAAGTTCACAAACCCCACCTTGTTCACAGCACATAGTTGAACAAAAGCACGTGATCCACCCAAAAGGTGTTTAAACTAGTACATCGCATGCCATAAACTCTCAAATCAATATATCACAATCCAAATAAAACAAAAACCAAAAAAAAAAAAAAGACATAACTCTACCTCATATAATACAAGCTTAAATTCCTCTAAATGTACTTATATTATAATGAAATAAAGTTATTGACTTATTATTACACCTTTCGAAAATAATTAATTTTATTTGTTTCTGTTTAAAAACAGTCAACTTAATGCAAATGTATGTATTTTATTCGGGGCCTTTTATAATCTAGTTTAGTGCTCGATATACTTTTAGAACCTCATAAACAGAAAGGTTTTCTTTTGTTTGTTCAATAAATAGAATCGTTGTTTAATATGAAATATGATACTATATTACGATATGAACGAATTCATATGGTGTGCCAATAGTTGAGTGTTTTAAACTCAAGATGTTTTATTTCACAAAAAACATAAATAAAAGTTGTTATACATTATATCATGATACACTATTCTAAATGTTTATTATTACGTATATTTTCAAATTTGGATATGATTTGATGCAGCCACAACATTATTATAAATCACTTGGCTACAATTCACGCATTAATATATTGTATGTATAAATATGAGATTTAAAATAATGTAATCCGAAATTAGGAGAAATTTTTAGAAATATCTGGAAACAAAATAAAATGAAAATAAAAATATTCCATTTTCAAGAGTTAAATTATATTTTTGTGAAGCCCAAAAAAAGGCAAAAAAAAATTATTCTTTGGTAAGACCCACCAATCTCAGACCATGCAAGCTTTCTTCCAGTGCACCAATCCACTTTCTTCATAAACAATTAATTGTAATTTTGTTTTTGGCCATTAGTTTCCTCTCTTATCATTTTTTCTAATAGGATTTTCTCTTTAAATATTTGTTTGTTTGAAAATAAAAATTCTGCTCTATCTCTGACAAACTCCACATGCATATGTAAAAGGGCACCAAAGACTTATGAGACCCACCCACATTATTTTGTCCACATGGATGTGTAAGGAAACCTCTTTTTTCTTTTCATTTATTATTTCCTTTCTCTGTTCATTAATTTTTTTTATTTTGTTAAGTAATTGTACCATCTAGTTTGATTTTTTAGAAATTATTAAAAGTCGTTACATTCATCACTAATATATATTTTAGGATTGAAAAATCGAATACCCACAAAAAATAAAAGGGATTTATCCAATATCATTTTTCTTCTTGAAATAAAACAAAGAAAAAAGAATTTAGTTTGGTCTGTTTTTTTCTTTTTTTTTGGTCAATTAGTTTGGTCTGTTCTTTCATGTGCATCACTTTCATCAGAGATGCATAAAAAATAGATACCTCATTATTCCCAAACAGATTTTTTTCAGTGCTTCGTCATAAATTTTTACTTTTTATATAATTAAAATATTAAACAATTCAATTACATTCTCTTACATATGTATAAATCTACGGATACACACGTATACATGTGTACACGCATGTGTATATACATTACACAACCGATGTTTATATATGCTTCAAAAGCTTCTCCATATAATTGTAGAGAGAGCCTTTGCCTTTTACAAACTCATTTCTTTGAAACAACCCAAACAAAAAAAAAAACTTTTTTTTTTCTCCTCTTCTTTCTTCTTCAAGGAACCCTCCAAGAGAACAAACACAGAGAAACCTAATATCTTGTCTGGTCATAACTTCACAAGTAGCTTTACCTTTGTCTTAATGCTGGGTTCTTCTGTGTTCTCTTGTCTCTTTTTCTTCTTCTTCATCTGAGACGAGAAACATTGGAAAACCCAGAAACTGGAGGTTTCCAAGAACTGATATGAGAGCATCTCAGAGTTCCATTGTTTTTTAGAGGCAAAACCATCTGAGACCAGTGCCAAGAAGAAGAAGAAGAAGATGTCGGCGAAGCTTTTGTATAACTTGTCAGATGAGAACCCAAATCTGAACAAACAGATTGGATGTATGAATGGGATCTTTCAGGTGTTTTACCGGCAACATTATCCGGCGAGACGTGTTACCGTCGCTGGAGATGAGCTCAAGTCTCTGCCTTCAGGTAACATATCTCTCTCTTTCTTTTATGTCTTTGCTAGCAATGTCCTCTCTCCAATTAAACCTGAAGAAAAAAAAGTTTCAGAGGAAAGTATTTCAGCATAAGACATTGTTTTTGTATTCTAGTTTCTGACTAAGATCCTAAATCTAAGGTTCAGGACCACAAAGATAGAAAGAAACCAAAGCTCTAGAACATGACTTGTCTATAGTTTGGTCATAGTGTCTAATCATCTCTATACTTATCTATAGGCGTGTATATCTAACGCCAATTTGGTATTGGTTAAAAGCTAAAGTTTTGATTGTTGATTTTTTTTTAGCAGGCAAAACAAGTGACAATGTCGGTGATACCAACATCTCAACGGAAAACAAGGAAACGGTAAGAATCTGTAACTGGTGGAGAAATAATAATTTCCACGGAAAGAAAATGGATCTAAAAAAGTTGGAATTTTTTTTACTGGAATTGCAGGAGAAGAGCAGGAAGAAGAAGGCTGCAAAGGAGAAACAGAGGGTAGTCTCCTCTGAATCGTCCTCGAGGCTGTCGTTTTCTTCTTCACCATGCTCCTCAAGCTTCTCATCTGCAGATATCAGCACCACAACTTCTCAGTTTGAACAGCCGAGTAATGGTGAGAATCCGGTAAGAGAACCAACCAACGGGTCGCCAAGGTGGGGTGGTTTGATGATGTCGACTGATTTAAGGGAGCTTGTGAGGACCTCCATTCACAAAGAGACGAGAACCAGAGACGACGAAGAAACATTGACTCAGCAGCCTAAATCAGCCAGAGCTAATGTGCCTCTCCCTAAAGAATCATCACCATCTCGGAACTCTAATGAATGGAGCCAGGGACGGAGAGTGGTGAAGCTGAAAGACAGTCCTCGCTTCTCTTATGACGAGAGGGAGACGAGAAAAACAGGCGCCAAGTTGAAAGAGACGCCGAGGTTGTCGTTAGACAGTAGATCGACTTCCTTTAGGAGCGCGAGATCCAGTTGTTCACCGGAGCCGCGAGAGCTTGTAACGGGTCACAGAAGAACGACATCGAGCGTTGTTGCCAAACTGATGGGTCTTGAAGGCATTCCAGACGAGCCTGTGACCGATCAGAACAGGGAGATCCAGAACCGCTTCTGTGACTCCCCAAGGCCAACTTTCCGACCGGAAGCAGAACTACAACGATCAAGAAGCTCTGATTCAGCCAAGAGGATGATGCCGTTTCCAATGAAAGCAGCGCCATGGTCGCAAGTAGATGGTGCCAAGAACCAAGTCAAAGCAGCTGACGCTGCTGCTACGCTGACAGTTTATGGTGAGATACAGAAGCGGCTTTCGCAGCTTGAGTTCAACAAGTCTGAGAAAGATCTCAGTGCTCTAAAGCAAATACTCGAAGCAATGGAGAAGACACAACAGTTGGTAAGCAAAGATGATGATGACAACAACACTCTGCGTTCAACCAGTTTTATGAAGCAAATTCCACCAGCAACAACGAGCCCGTCCTCCAAGAATTTCAGATCTTCTTCTATCGTGGTTATGAAAGCAGCGGCGGCTCCTCCAGTATTCAAAGAGACAGGTAGTTCTGGTTCTGCCTCTTTCTCGCCGCGGAGTGTTGCTTTACCAAATGTTAAGGTCGGAAACCTGAGGCAACCGCAGAAAGTCGCTCCGAGGAAGCAGAGCGCCATGGATGTGACACCGAGGCCAGGATTTTACAAGGGCCAGGCGGATTCTGCAACGAAAAACACTAGCACCAGACTGTTACAATCGAAAAGCGACATGGCCAAGTCAGGGAAGAGCCAGAAGCCTAGTGTCAGCCCAAGAACGCCGCCAAAGAAGCTCGGGTTCGAGAAGCAGTCTCGACCAACATCCCCAAAACCAGAACCAAACAAGATTCAGAGACAACAACTCAGTAGGCAACAGACAGAGTCAGCCTCCCCGAGAAGAAAACCAGGAACAAAAACCCGCGGCCTGCAGCAATCTGAAGACCGCTTAAGTGACGAAAGCAGTGACTTGAGAAGTCTAAGATCTGACAGCAATGTAAGCTTGGCCTCTAACGTGGACATGGACGTTACAAGCAGATATAAATATGAGAGGAACAGCGACATCGCGGAGCAGCACACTCCAAAACAAAGGGTATAAACTTTTCTCCTGAAGCAAATTCACTTCTCAAGTTATTCACTAGTACATGTTTCACTGAATCTCATCTGTTTATTAATGCAGAGTCCAGACTTGGGAATGAGGTCGTTGCCAAAACCTCTGAAAGTTACTGTGGAGCAGCCCAGCCCAGTTTCAGTTCTTGATGTAGCCTTCGACGAAGATGAGTCACCTTCCCCTGTGAGGAAAATATCCATTGCCTTTAAAGGTGAGTCATTTTGAAAGTTGAAATTATACTTGTTCACTGATATTAAGCTTGTTCTAAATTATACACAAAAATAGATTGCAAGTTTTGATTTGTTTAAATCCCTCACCTTTACTATATTTCTCTTGCCACAGAGGATCACCTAAGTTACGAAGAGTCCCAGTGGATGAACAAGCACAGCAACTTATGTAGATCGATTGTGTGGCCTGAGAGTAACGCAAGTCCGAAGCAGCCTGATGACGAACTTATCGAGGGTTCCATGGAAGAAGATGCGAAATTCAAAAATGGTGACCACAAGTACATCTCAGAGATACTGTCGGCCTCAGGGCTTCTAAGAGATATCGACTACAGCATGATGAGCATTCAGCTGCACCAGGCACACCTACCAATCAATCCGACCCTTTTCTTTGTCCTGGAACAGAGCAAGACAAGCAATGTGAGTCAACACGACAACAAACACAAAGGCAGAGGATTCGGACAGCAACAGACGGCAAACCTGATGGAGAGAAGCAGGAGGAAACTCGTATTTGACACCATCAACGAGATCTTAGCTCGCAAATTCGCGGCAGAAGGGTGTACGAAGCAGCCATCCATCGTATCATCGATCAGCAGGCTAAGGACAACCGACAAAAGTTCAAGAGGGGAAGAACTTCTGGAAACTCTGTGTTCAGAGATTGATCGATTACAAGATAACTCAAAGTGTATCTTGGATGAAGACGATGAAGACCTCATTTGGGAGGACCTGCAAAGCCAAGGCATGAACTGGAAGGAGATTGAAGGAGAGACACCGGGGTTAGTGTTAGACATTGAGAGGCTAATCTTCAAGGACTTGATTAGTGAAGTCGTGACAAGCGAGGCTGCAGGAATGCTCAGTGGCAAACCCAGGCAGCTTTTCCATTGCTAATATCCCCTAATTAATCATCACTTTAGAAATGTAAATGAAGGAATCTAAGTCATCCATTTTACAGAGTTGAGAGCACTTGGTTTCTTGGTTATCTGAACTCTTTCTTATGTTCTATTCTTCCTTGTTTATGTAAAGACTCAATTCAAGATAAAGCTCAATAATGCTGTATCCATTAAGAAGAATAATTCAACAAATCTCAATTAATGTGAACATCAACACCCTCTTCCAATAAGTTCGAATTACCAACTCCACTACTCTCACTAAAAACGGGGATATTGTATCCCCATTTGAAATCAACCAGCAAATGATGCTAGAGATCAAACACGATTCTCTTTCTCCAGCAGTTTGAGTCAGTAAAAAAATATATTTTCCCTAACAAGTCACGTATTGAATTGCAAACTATCACTAAACTCAAGATGCAAAGAAGATATTCCGTCTACAATATTCTAAATGACAAAATACCTATTTTACATCTGTGTCAATACTTTCACGCTTATCTTCGCGTTCTACCTTCTTCTCCATCTTGTCTCCATCCTCTTGAAACCAACCCTTTTCCTCTAGGCTCTGATTTACTGCCCAACACATAGAGGCCTTTCGTGTACCAATCTTAAAACGAAGCAAAGCTCGTTGTGTTCTTGCCCCATCTCCATCCTCTGTTTCAGCTAATCTGATCATATCAGATGGAGCATATGCCTCAGGCGGTGGAATCTGATGGCTCTTTTTCATCTGTTTCTCAGGAACGTGGCTTATGCTAACTTCTTCACTAGTACCCTCTGACGGGTGAAACACTTGTGGCACGTTCTTCTCTCCAACCCAAACTGGCGCAGCGAGAAACGGGTTACCTTCCGGTTCCTCTGCTGGTTTCTGAACACTATCCTTATCATCCATGGATTTCTGAACTTTTAACCTATCAACATCGACAGACTGCTGCGTGCTCGCCAAAGACGGTCCGTTTTCTTTACTCTGCACATCTCCTTCTAAGTTGTCAGCATTAGTCTCCTCCTCGGGCCCGTTAGACATCTTGGTTTCGGGAAAAGCAGGAAGCCAAACTGGAATATGCTCATCCGGTGGTTCTGCTCCAATCTCAGAGAAGCTAGGAGCTGGTCTTTTCCCTCTGTTGAAAGGGAAACGGGGAAGAGAGTAAACGAACGGAATCTCCTCCGCTTCGGCTGTATAACGAACAATATCCCTGACTACACCGGAATCAGCTAGACAATGGTCAACATCAGGAGCACCATCAAATCCCAATCCAGATCCCAAATCCTCGAGCGCCTGAACAATGTCCAGAGCATTACCTTCTGCTCTACCAGCCATATTAGCATAGAACTGCGTCGTCTTGCCGATGCTTTGAATGTATTGGATCACTACGTCGGTTAGCGTCTCAAGAGCAGACTCCTGAAAAGAACTGAACCTCGCACCTTCGCGCGCCTGTGACTCCTGGTACGAGCTGATCTCGACGCTCTCGCATATCTGCGCCACGGCCATTCTAGCGAGTGCGTAGGCAAAATCGTTGCCACGAAAAAGATTTCTTTTCCCGTGTAACTCTCTCCGCTGACTTCCGCCCTCCCCTCCTCCATTGGTCATATTCAACCTTTCTTACAACTTTGCACAGCTTAAAACGTAGAACCATTCTTCAATCAAACCCAAACGAAAATGCGCATTCCCTTGAAACCAAAAATTCGTTTTTTTAATTCACGAATTCTTCTCTCGGTACCTTAAATCGAAAAGTGGGGAAGAACATCAGGGATCAACACACTAAATTCGAACCAAGGACATCCCGAAAACGAGTTATAAGAACTGATTTACCCAATAAACGTTAAACTTGAGTAAAGATCAATTCTTCCCCAAACAAAACCAATAATTGTCCCCAGCAAAACCCTAGAAACGCAGCGAGTCCAGCTCACGGCATAAGAGCGCACCAATTAAAAACGAATCCGATTGACAGAATTGAAATGCTTACCGGAGAAGAAGAAGCCTTCCCCATTGTTAAAACCCCGGAGCAGCAGAATCAACGAGGAAGGAGGGTCAGACAAACTCGGAATCCGGAGACAAAACCCTAGCGAAGGAGCCAAATTGGGAGAAATTTTTGGCTGACGGAGGTATCCAAGAAACCTAATCGAAGTCGAAAGGCGCCAAATTCTAGGGCTACGAATGCGATTAAACCCAGCTTAAACCCCCCTCGATCCAGATATTGAAAGTGTTGGAGATTTTCGTCCCAACTTATAAGCGGAAGAAACAGAGATGATTAAAGGAAAGAGGGAATGATAACTTCACGACCGAGCAGATAGTGATCCCGTCACAAAGCTCCATACCTCTGACACGTGTCTTGCTTAAAACTAATTTTATGCTCAGTTAACTGATAGCAATTCCACTACTTGTGTCTTGTGTCTTGTGTCATGAAGTCGAACTGAATTCTATTTGTTTATTTTGTTTGTAGAACTTAATTTCTTTATTTTTGTTCTCTCATTAGTCAGTTTTGGTTTTTTTAGTCTAAATTGCATTTCAGTGTGTCTAATGATTTTTAAAGATTATAAAAACTATAAATGAGAATATAACGAACTGTATCATCTCAAAATTGTTACCATTTTATTTTGAAATTTTAAATTAATCATTCCAAAATGACAAATTTGCAAAGTGTTTGGTATGTAATAATTTCTTTATGTCCTGCAAATTAGTTATGATATTAAAGCCCAAACTGAGTAGATGTAGAAAACCCTAGCTCTCAGAAATCCTTGATGCAATGCGAATGATGTCATTGTTGTCATTTTCATATCCATAGCTATCTTGAAAGTCTCAGAACAAAACGCCATTTTTGCGTGTGTTATACAAATTACAATAAACAAAATTTTTATACAAATTACAATAAACAAAGTTTTCCTTAAATAATTTTTAAAAAGTTAATATTACGGCCTAATTTTCAGATGCGGTTTAGTAAAATACCTATAAGAAGCATGGTGTGGGGAGGAGTGTTGACTACATAAGTTTGTTGACACTCATCCTATTCAGCCTGTGTAGGACACAAAATTTCCTTCAAAATAAAATAAGTTAGTTAGATTCAATATTGACAATAAAAGGAAAAATAAAATCATAAAAAACCTAAGTTTACATTTCTCTGAACAGCCTCATCATATGATGGGAACCAGAGTACTGTTGCAGCCATGGATCCATAGCTTCTTCTGAAATTTCTGAAAAGCAGTGAACAGTCATTTTCTTTGCACAATACTGTTCAACCAACTTTAAGGAAAAACAAAATAAACAATAGTCACATTGAGTTAACAATTATTTTGCGTGCATTTGTTGTTCAACTAACATTAAGCAATAACTGATAAATTTGAAATAATACTATATAGAAATATCATTTCCCACATCTTGACGAGAAGATAAAAATGCATCTATATCCTAATAATTATGTGGCTTCAGCTGAGTTTAAACTGTCTCACAAATACAATCGCTCAACAACAACTAATTGCTTGCAACAAAATAAGATTAAGTAGTCCTTCAATTTCCATACTCGATGATTCCAAGTAAACATACATTACATTCCTGCACATCTAAAAAAGCAGAAATCTTTAAAATTCTTAAAAGAAAATTTTACTAATTAACTAGAATAAAAAGTAAGAAAAACATGAAGACCCAAACATAAAAATGTTATAAAGAAAAAAGATATGTAAGAATAACTTGGTCATTGAGTAACCAAAATATTTTCCTCCACTTTGTTTCGTATATCTTTAGACTTGTATATGTTATTAATGTTTATATTAATATCAATATATATATATATAATTATATTAATATCAATATGTATATTGTTTAGGCTTGGTCACTTGAGATTGAAACATGTTAGGTTATAGTAAAAGATTATAAAACTTGTAAATAAATACAAGGAACGGTATCATCTCAAAATTGTTATCATTTTATTTTGAAATTTCAAATTAGTCATTCCAAAAATGACAAATTTACAAATTGTTTTATGGGTACTAATTTCTTTGTGTCCTGCAAATTCGTTATGATATCAAAGCCCAAACTGGATAGAGCAGATTACAAATAAAACACCTCAGAGGCTCAGACCTAATACAACTGAAACCCAGCTAAACTTGCAACATATCATCAACAGGTGTAGGTTAAACCTAAGTCTAAATAATTTGGTGTTCCAGAAAGTATAAGTTAAAAAGCCGAATTAAAAAAATTAGCCGTGAAGTTGATTTAATACGTCATTGACTCGATTTCGATCCCGCCATCTCTGTCCTTACAGAAAACCCTAGTTCACAGAAATCCTTGAGAGAGACGTCGTGAAATCAAACCTGAAACTGTACAATATCTTCAAGGGTTATCGCCTCTCGGAAACCTAGCAAGCCGCCCTTGTCAAGGTCTCCACGGACGAATCCTCCACAGCTCCGGCCCAATGATATTGGGAGCCCTAGGGCAAAAAATTTTTTTGGGCCTACTAACATATAAATTTCACTAAATTTTGAATATTTGAGCTTTCTAATATAAAAATTTACATTAAATTTTAAAATTTTGGGTTTTTTTTAATAAAATTTCTATTAATAAATACTAATTTAAATTAAAAATATAATTATTTGAGTTTATTTGTTTTAAAACGAGCCCTATTATATGCAGAATTTCAAAAATAAATGGGTTAAGCCTCTGGGCGGGTGCACTTCTGCCCACCCCATTTGAGCCGGGGCTGATCCTCCAACAAAGTAATATTTTTTTTTCTTATTCTTATGTCTTTCTTCTTATTTGGTCTTCAACTTCTGATTCTCACTGAATGGTTTCAGAACAAAATTTGAAGTTAGTAGAATTTCTGATTACATCTTTTGTACCTTAGGGGATGGAAGTGAACGGTAGTGATGCAGCCTTTCCAAAAAGCCGGTAAATCAAGTGTTTAAGATTTGTTGTATATGTAAGATGTGTTGTTCTTGTCACGTTGATGATATGATGTCCTGCACTCAAATTATTACAGTGACATTGGGAGTTCAAGAAAAAACGAGATTGGGAGGGTTCTCGTTTCGGGATATGACACGGGGCTTCCTCATGATGATGTCGAGAGCGCGTTGAGAGAGCACTTCTCCTCATGTGGAGAGATCACGGATGTTTATATTCACAAGTGGAAAGTGAATGAACTCTCGAGGTTTGTGGCTTCTTCATCAGGTTTGTGGCTTCTTCCTCGGGCGGCTCAGCTCAAGTTAAATGCTAACCTGTTTGTTCTGTTTCACAGGTCTGCTTACATTTATTTCCTGGGAGAAGGCGCAGAAGACAGGGCATTGCAACTTAGTGGAAGTCACGTGGGAGAATGGATCGTCTCTGTTGAGGCTGAACCTTTTCCGAAATGCAGGTAAACTGAATTAAATCCTTTTTTTTTTGTTTCTTGTGTTGACAATATCATCTCCTACAATCCATTTGTCGCAGCGCTACCCTAGTGGTTGGTGGATATGACACTTCGCTTAGTGATACTGAGATCAAGAGCGCGCTGAGTAAACATTTCTCTTCATGTGGAAAGGTCAAAGTCGTCGTTCATAATAGAAAAGAGAGGTTTGTGGCTTCTTCCTCCCAACCCTTTCCCTGCTTTCAAGTTATTAAATGGTAACCAGAGACTTGATTTTCACAGCCAAGCTGTAGTGCTCATTGATGGAGAAGACGCACCAGAGAAGGCGATGGAACTTAGTGTGTTGGACATGGGTGGACGCAAAGTAGTTGCTACGCTTTACTCGAAACGGACAAAAACCACTGTCCACCCGCGTCCTCGCTTCGCCATGCGCGGGCTTCCGCCAAGGTACATATTAAATTGGTTCTTGGTTCTTTGTAACAAAGATTCCTTGTAACAAAGTAAATCTTTGGTGGTTTATTTTAGGCGGGTAGGCGGGAAGGCTAAGACGACGGCGGAGTAGAGAAAGCTCGACGAAGCTCTTTTAGTGTTTCGTGATAACCTATCACTAACTATGGTTTATGTCTGGATGTTATTTTTATAAGTAAACTCGACAATCATTGTCTGCCTTCATTATTACTTAAGTATGATGTTTTATGTCTGAATGTTTAAGCTAAACCTCGTTTTATCATTATCCGCCTTTTGATGTATATTCTTTAAAATCATCATTTCATATTCGTAATCCTGTATCATTGATGATGCACATGCCAAATCCACTTGGAGTTTGGTTCTTTTTAATAAGCTCGTACAAATACGCTATGATCAAAATATCTAGACACACTTTCTTAAGTTTTTTCATTCCCTAGTCCACAAAATAGCGAGAAGTGAAGATCAGAGGAATTCAAAGACAGTGTTAAAAGTTTCTGTGAGCATCATAAATAGAGCATTGCAACGCTCATGCATACCAAAAGTGTTGTGGCATAGATAGAAGTTTCGTGCATCATGATGCATTAAGGCCTGAATTAAACTAGATATGTGCAATTCCGGTTCTGTCAATGGCAGCAGGCCCAAATATTTTGGGCCCATAATTGATGTGATGAAGGTTAGTTTCGTAGTTTGAGCAATTTCCCATAAACCCTGCCGACTCAGACGGAACCCTAATTTATCTCCTCCTTCGTCTTGCTCTGCAACAAGCGATTTTGAGAAGTTTGAAGGCGAAAATGAATGTCGAAGGAGAAGATACATCTAAAAAAATTCAGGCGAAGTTCGTGACGAAGCTTGACTCTCCGTTCAAAGCTCCGGCCACCCCCTACGTTATCTCTTCCAATGTCACTCGTCTCGGTCTCTCTTCCGTCGTCAACTCTCTTCTCAAACTCCGTAGGCTTCTCTCTCACTCCGTACCCTAATAATTTTTAGGAATTTCAGTTTCGATTGCTTGTACTTGTTAGTCTTGTGTTTTGAATTTGTTAAATCCTAAGTGTTTATACGAGTCGCTGCTCTTTTTTTTCTCTCTAGGTCTGTATCAGGCATTTACTTGTATAATATTCATCTCTGAGATTCTTCTTACTTGTATAATACAATTGAGTACCGATTTTCGAATATTGGTTTCTCACCCATAAGATGATCTTTTGATGAATAGACCACCATGAGCCATTTGACTTTCTAATCGATGGGGAGCTTATCCGAATGTCACTCGAACAGTTTCTTCTGGCAAAGGGAATATCGGCGGTAATGTTTCAGTTCTAGTCACCCACTAAACAGAGCAACTCTTTTTTTTTTAATCTTGGAAGCGTTTACTTGAATTAATTGTGGGTTCTTGCAGGAACGAATTCTTGAAATCGAGTACATAAGGGCTGTGACACCACGGAAGGAGGAAAAGCCTTCATTGCATGATGACTGGGTCAGTGCGGTTGATGGTTCTTCTCCAAGGTGATTTTTCTTTTTCTTTTTTTGTATGTCTAATGCATCACTATATGATGTAGAATGGCCTTGCTTTACCTATTTTCTTCCACCAGTATTTTGATTTACAAAGTCTTATTCGTTTCTCTGCGTTACCACCTGTTGGTTGATGCCATATGGAAAAATCATAGCAATGTTTAATGGGTTACTGTACTCGACTGCCATATCATTGTTGTTGGGATTCCTCTTCACCTGTTCCTACTGTGTTTTTTTGCTTAAAATTGAAAAAACCAAGTCATCCAGTGATTGTTGTGATATTAAAGAGGTTGTCCTGATTTCGTTGTCAATTGCAGGTTCATTTTGACCGGCTGCTATGATGGTTTAGGAAGGTAATCATTTGAATCATTTATTATATCTTGTTTGTTTGTATTGCTGTCAACACTTGCAAGAATCTTATATTTTTGTTTTTTGTTTTTCTTCTGATAAGGATATGGAGCTCTGCTGGATCGTGTACCCATATTTTAGAAGGTCACGCTGGGGCAATATCCTCTGTTGCTTTTGCTAACTCCCAAGGTATGAGCATAGCATTGGAAATTTATACCATGGCTGTTCTTTACTAGCAAAACATGTTAACAAGAAGGATTTTGCCTTTTTCGCTTATAGACCACTTCCTTACATTTTCAAGTTTATTTTTTCGTGTTGATTGGTGGATCTTTGTAGATGCAGAAAGCGTTACTGTAGCCACTGCCTCTAAAGATCGGACATTGAGATTGTTTAAGGTAAACATGGATAATATATAACTCTTTAAGTTTGGTAAATTTTAAATTTTCCTGATAACTAAAGTATCTCTTTCTGTATAAAGGTTGATACAGCTGAATCTCTCGACACTACTACAAGATTAGGGGCTTACAAGATATTGCGTGGGCACAAGGCGGCAGTGCAGAGTGTTGTAGCGCAGAAATCCGGAAGCATGGTTAGCTGTTTCCCTTTGCGCTTAACTTGTGTATTGCAAGTGAAACTAGTTTGTAATTCATCGTGCTCACCTGCTGAATAATGCAATTTTAGGTTTGCTCGAGTTCATGGGATTGCACGATCAATTTATGGGACACAACTGAGGCTGATTCAGAAGGGGTCACAGCAACAGTAAAGAGAAGAAAAGGGAATAATCAGAAAGAGGAAACTCAGTCAGAGGTACCCTCGATATATCTGGATGATATGGAAACTCTATACTCTTCATCAAGCAGAGGAGACAGATGTACTCCCAACGGTTGTGTTTTTTCTCAGTTGAAGTATCTAATTGCAATTACGGTACTGAATTTCTTACAGGGAGAGGCGCAGACTACATTTGTTGGACACACACAGTGTGTCTCATCAGTCGTTTGGCCAGAGGATGATGTAATTTATTCCGCTTCTTGGGACCATTCTGTAAGGAGATGGGATGTTCCAACAGGGAAAGATACTTTGAACTTGGTATGTGTTCTCACTCTCCTTTGCTTTCTCATGAATCCAGGCACACACCAGACCCTGAAAAAATCAGTGTTTATCCATCGAAGCTTAGATCCGGTTTGTTTCTGTCAAATTGTAGTTCTGTGGAAAAGCTCTCAACACGGTAGATGTTGGCGGTGAAGGTTCTGCACTCGTAGCTGCTGGTGGTTCAGATCCTATCCTTAGAGTATGGGATCCTCGTAAGCCAGGTGAGAGATCTATACTAATAACACAGGCGGAGCCAATATACATATATATAACAAGGCCGGATTTTTATTACACGATTGATAAAACACACTTCTTGTACTCTGTAGGGACATCCGCTCCCGTGTTTCAGTTTTCTTCACACGCGTCGTGGATTTCCGCCTGTAAATGGCACAAAAGCTCTTGGTTTCACTTGCTCTCCGCTTCCTATGACGGCAAAATCATGCTCTGGGATCTCAGAACCGCTGTAATTACGCTCACACACGCACTCATTTCCATTATAAACCGGGTTTTGCCCCTCTCTGAAAACTAATTTTCTTCCTCCATTTGCAGTGGCCTTTGTCAGTTATCGACACACACAAGGATAAGGTATAGTAACATGCAATCTTTATCTTGTATCTTCTACTCTTCTTTTTTCATTTTTTTTTGTTACTGAAACGGTCTCGGTCTCGGCTCTCTGAAGGTTTTATCTGCCGACTGGTGGAAAGGAGACAGCGTAGTCAGCGGAGGAGCAGACTCTAAGCTTCGAATTTCTTCCGGAATCTCTATATCTTAAGAGGTCTGAAATACGAAACCTTTCACCCACTTTTTTTGTTGCATGAAATGTGGAACAAATCATCTGAACTCAATTTCTTGAAAAGGTCTGAAATCTGAAACTTTTCGGGTATTTATTTTCTTACAGGACATGTGGCTGTTCCAGTCCAAGATTCGATAATATGATTCTTGATCCTGGAGTGCTAGAGAAAGCTTACTGGTTAAAAAGTTTTGTATACTCTTCATATTTCGAAAATGTTATCTCAATTTTATTTTTTGTGGGAAGTAATTTTGTTTTAATTGTTTAATACCGATTTATTTTAAAAATTTGTATTTGCTTATTCTGTCTGCCATATTGAATACCAGTTTAGAAATGCTACGTTTTGGCAGAGAAATTAATTGCATCAACGAAAAACTTTTTATACCATAAATAAAGATTTACTCTAAGCTTTTTTCTGAGTAAGATACAGCAAAGAAAATACTCAAATAGTGGAGGATAAAAAGAAGAAGAGGCGAAATTAAGCTCACGCGTTCTTTAAAGCGCGTGGGTTTATCTCAGTAAGCAATTTCCACCCACTTTAATCAGCCTAAACGATTCGTAGTTATCTAGGTCAACTTTTTCTTTGAAATCCACATCGTACGATCTAAAAACTCATCATCATCTTGACCGTTGAATTAACCAAGTGCATCTAACATCTAATACACGTGTGTACACGCAATTACCGCCGTTTTACTGAACCAAACTCCGAACCTGAGGTTCGTTTCCTTGTGACTAATTTATTTTTCAGGAAATTAATTTCTCTCTTTATTTCTTTCACTGTATTATTTCTTGCTGTGGTAATCGGTCCTCTGTCTTCGGCTTCTTGTCCCAAAAATTATATCTTTGGAGACTCAGAAATTTCTCAGTCTACTGTTCAGAGAAAGGAAAGGTAAAATTTATGTGGGAACAGGTTTTTTTCTCGCGAATTTGAAGTGTCAAGGCAAGAGGAGAAGAAGAGAAGCTTGAAAAGAGGAGGGAAAGAAATAAATAAGAAATTCGCTTTATATATATTTTATTATTTTGGTGGCAAATTGAGCCGTGTTAAGGTTTGCAGCTCCAGTGGTGAAGAACCCTAGACGATTCTCAGCTTCTCTTCTCCTCAGATCACGGTTTTTGTTTTTGCTTCCTTCTGGTAATTTGAAGTTTCTGTCAAATCAACTGTAGTTTGATTGATTCTGGTTCATAAATCATGAATTTTTTTTGTTTAATTGGAATCTAATGTTCATTTGGTGGAAAAATTAGTAGGTGAGTTTTTTTTTTTTAGTGTTATAAAGTTTTGATTCTGGGTTCTTCCCCCAATTTGGTGCTTTTGAATGCCATTTTCAAGTAGATTAGTCCAAAAGCTCAGGACTTTGTTGAGCGATAAAGTCTTGCATTGCTTTACTGGGATGACATCTCTTAATTCTTAAATATTGTTGGTGTTACAGATTTTGATGGATCTGAGAAGGAGCAGCTGATGATGTGGTTACAAGTTTGATGCATGTGAAAGGAATTGAAGAAGGATTTCTACAATTTATCTGAATTTCAAGATTTGCAAGGGATGCAAAATCAACCATGGTTGTTATGTGGAAGCTTAGGTTATAACTTATAGCCAACTAAACACTAAAAAGCTCAGGTGGTTCGTTTGTTGTCAAGTGTCATCAAAGATAAACTGAAGCTTCTAGTGGTGATTTATGTTTCCAAGCAAGGCTTCAAGAGAAATTCTGTGTGCAGCAGCAAATATTTCCACAGCATAGCCCTATGCAGCAGTCTGGTTACGATGAGATGCAGTTTTTGCAGCAGCAGGTGATGCTCAAGCAACTACATGCTCTTCAAAGTCAGCAGCAGAACTTTTTAAACCCCTACTCGTCAACAGTCCCGAAGCAAGCTAGTAATAGCGGGCAGTTTCAGCCTCTTCACGACGCAATGCCTCTAAATGATTCTTCACCAGGATATCTAAACTGGGGGCAGAGGAATGCTTTCCCGGGACAACAAGGAACGCTCGATAAAACCATGTTTTCGATGGGTCTTGGTTCTCAGCAGCCTGATATCTCTCTGTACGGTACTCCGGTTGCTAATGCAAGAGGTAGTACGGGTCAACAGCCTCCCATCCAAGTCATGTATCAGGAACCCAACAGTCTAGCAGCTAGGCCTCCTAGTGGTCAATCACAGAAGTCTCTGATGCAGTCATCGGGTTTTAATAACCCTTTCCTTAAAAGTCAATATGGTTTATCTCCAGCGCAGTTACCTCTACAACAACAGGGAGCGTTTATGTCAAATCTTGGAGTTCAAGGGAGAGGTATGTCCGAGGCAGGTTTGAGCAATGGAATTCACTCCGGCAATTTCCTTTCTCAACAGTTTGACACTTCATCGAAAGGTTCTAGTAGGAGGCAGGAGGAACAAGCAAGTTGGTCTTCATTTCAGCAGAAGGGTTCTCAGGGTTTGGTTCCTCTTGACCCACTGGAAGAGAAGATTCTGTTCGACATGGAAGACAGTAGTATTTCTGAGATTGCTTCTGGAGTATTCGGTGACAAATTTGACAGTGTGAATATCTCCAGCTCTTTCCCATCTATGCATAGCGGGAGCTGGAGCGCGCTTATGCAGACCGCTGTTGCAGAAGCTTCTAGCAGCGATACTGGTCTTCAGGAGGAGTTTAGCGGCTTAACATATCAGAATATGGAACTACCTGCGGATATTAACGACATATCCAATTTCCTGGACAGTGACAAGCAACAGGCTGGTTGTGTAAATAATAACAACACCTTGCTTGGCTCTTCCTCGTTAAACGCTAGCTTTCCTGGGTTTCAGGTGCCTTCAGATCAGCTGAGATCAAGTATCTTTCAGGATGATAGTACTCCTGATTCCACTAAGAGGTCCTCGAACGTGACTGGTCACTGGGTGGATTGTAACCCTCAACCGATGATATCGACAGTGTCTTTTGATAATATATCTACGGGTAATATGTATATGCAGTCCTCAGGAATGCAATCTCAGACAGGTAATTATAGCTTTAATACGGCTGATTCGTCTGCAAGTCACTTAGCTGGCATGTCTTCTCAAGGTGGAAAATGGATGAATGCGCCCGGTCAGCTCGGAAAAGAAGCGATGTTCCCACAGTTTATACAACAGAATGAACCGGCTACAGTGACTGTATCCCAAATGCATACGACCAGTCCATTTGTAGCATCTCAGCCTGAGAACGCAACATTTCCAGGAGTTATTTTGGATGGTGGCATTGGAGGTCACACCTTTAATCCAACTAGATCACCCCAACAAGGTACCAATCAGCAGTTCAACGTGTGGATGGACTTACCAACTCGCCATTATCCTTCGGATCAACAGTCACTCAAGTTTCCCTTGAATTCAACATCACCCGTTGAGAGATTAGGAAGTGATGTCTCGACTTCGCAAAAGGCACAACATATGTCGTCCACAGCATATAATATGCCACAGAGGGTTGGTTTGCCTCAAGAGCAAGGAGCTGCTGCTAAGAATGACTCTGATTTCACTGCCCCCAACAAAGATTTTAACAGATTGCAAGGGGAGAATAACGTGGATTTCGGTTCATCTTTGAAGTCATATGGACAAAACTATGGATTCAAAATGCCAGTGGATAACGGAATGAGCTCAATGTCACAGCTTGAGTCATTTGTATTCGACGACCCTAAGATGGAACAAAATGTTTGTTCCAGTGGCAGTAGCCATCTTAATCTTCCCACGTCAGCGCCCGTGTGGTTCAAGCAGATGGGAGCTGTTAGAAATGACCAGATGCAACCGGCACACGACTCTCAGGAGACTCGGCATTTTAAGCCTTTAAACACAATGGACAAACACGCAGAGATAATCGCACCAAAGAAACGAAAACTTATGAGAACAAGGCTGTTGGGTTGGAATGAAGAAGCCTCTAATGCATCCCAAAGGGACCACACAATCAGGTCCATCTCATATTCTTTGGTTGTCTTGAATTTTATTACCCCTTGTATTCTCAATCGATTAACTTAAAATGTAAATTCTTTCTGCAGTGAGAGAGAGCAAGAATGGGCCAGAGTTTCTAACCTGTTAGTTGAGAAGGTATATTACCTCACAGAAAATGGTTAAAGACTTAAAGTGAATGAAATATGATGTTATCTCCGTAATCTGAATGTTCTTTTGCTTTCCATTGTAGGCCGAGTATGATACTCAGACCTTTGAATTTGCACCTCCATTGCACCGTTCAAAGAGAAGACTTGTTCTAACATCAAAGCTTCTGCGGCAGCTATTTGATCCTCCACCCTCATTCAAACTTTCAGCTGCATCATCAAGCTATGATATTTTGCTTTTCTTCGTCGCGAGAGCAACTCTTGGTAATGCTTGCAGCCTTACCCACAAGAGAGAAAATGTGTTGCCATCATCATCATATGAGGTTGACAAGTGAGTGTTATACTGATATAATCGCGTTTCACTTCCTTCATACTATGGCTACAGTATTTAATTTCTTTACTGAGGTCCTGAAAACCCTTTAACCCGAAATATCTTTGATAGGATACCGGAAAAGATTGAGAATTTTGAGAGAAAGGATGTGCAACATTCTGAAGTTGCTAAAAAATTATCAGATCAAGCAAAGAAACTCGAGGAAAGCTTCGAAAGGTATGAAACTACGTTAGCGGCTACCTTATTTTCTCATAACATTTCACTTTAATGATACTATCTCTCTCAATGATAACAACATAATAGTTGTGGTTGAGTGAGAACATGTTACCTTGTTACTGTTATAAAGACCTTTTTTTCCAATTCTTTGATGCAGACTGGAGAAAACGCCGTTCATGGCAGACATAAATTCCGACATAGCGGATTTGGAAAGATTCTCTGTTATCAACCGTTTTGCGAGGTTTCACAGCAAGGGCCCAGTCTCCGGAAACCCTTCACAATCCAGTCTTCTTAAACCGATACCACAGAGATACATTGCAATGGGACCCATGCCTCGGTACCTACCAGAGGGAGTACAATGCCTTTCGTTATGATTCTGCTCTTGGAAACTAATCTTTGCTATGCATATAACCAATCATCCCAGAGAAGATAATACAGTCTCTCATCTCTCTATTTTGCTACTATTCTTTGCCTTCCCGGAATGCAAGAAAATATTGAAAAGCAACAAATCCTCGGATAACACAACAGCTTAGCTATACTCCTGCTGCTGCTCTTTTCCTGCGGAAGTAAATATTGTTGGATTGTGTGTTCTTTTTGTTTTTGTTTTTGGGTTTAAAAGATCAAGAGTCCTTGGATAATACAAAAGTATCAGGTCTCTGCAGGAAGAATAGGATGATCCTTTTAGTTACGGATATGTCTGTTTTGTGTGTGTGTTAGTTTTAAGTTATTAACTTAGTTTGGAAGTTAGAATCTCATCAATACATGGACAATGGCATTGCCCTTTATATATCTTTATTTCCAGAATCTCCATTCTCTCTTTCTTCCTGCTCTTCTCTGCCGCTTTCCTTGCAGGTTTAAAACTCGTATATGCTCTTCAAAGATACATTGAGGCCTGTAACGAAACAACACTTAAAGGAGAGGTATGTTCTTAGTCAACTATTCTTGTGCTTGTTTTAATCAAATTACAGACCAAGATTTGAATCTAGAGGCATGTCTTTGCATAACACCCACACAGACATACATATATGCTTGGTACTTTATTAAAAAAAAATTCATGTTAGGTGATGTTGTTATATTTGCACAAAAAAATGTAAGTGTTATTATAATAGGTACAATCTTTCCGTGGAGATTTTGTCGGATTCTTCCAAACTTTTGGGGGCTTATTGTCTGAAAGATGAAGTGACACGTGAGCTTATAGCAGACCCTTACTAGCAGTGACTTAAAACAAAAAAAAATGTCTTCAGTGTCATTATCACATGGTGACTTGAGTTTGTTGGAAAGTGAATGTGTATAGCTACAAAATTACATATTTTTGGTCACCAATGATCAGAAGTCAGAAGATGACATAAATATTGACATTGACAAGCAATACATAACTTGATATTGAGGTGCATATGCATGATTACATATTAAGTTATATATTGTACCTTAATATCAAGTTATATATATTGCTTGTCAATATCAAGTTATATAATTTTTTAGCTTTCTAAAAATCAAGGGGCGCTTGTTTTTAGATTGTAACGAGGCTTCTCTAGGCTTCAGCGATTTTTTTAATTAGGCCAACACGTTATAGTCTAAGGCCCATGGGCCGTATATTGCGTTTTAATCCTATTAGTCAAGAAGGTTCTTGTTCATTGCGAAATACTTTTTACCGTTTTGCCAGTTTTGCTGCATCACTTGGGATAAATTTAAGAAGATGGAAGAAATAGACAAGTAAAATCCGTATCGAAATAGAGAAGAAATGGAATACTAGTTTTCGATACATAATCTTCTGCTCTCTTTTTTTTTTTCTTTTTTTCTGAGCAATTAAAACATTCTTTGTTTGTTCCAGTGCATGTCGCTTTATATAAGGTTTTGAATGTGAAAAGTAACATACAATGGCCTATAATAGTCAACATTCAACAAGTAGCCCACAGAGAAGATGACGAAATGTACGTACATCGGTACATGCGAAGATCTATATAATTTTATGGTTAATTACTTTAAAATGTACTTTTTACAAACCCATAGTTTTTTTTTTATGTTTTTTTGTTTCCTTGAAGATTTTGTCACCAAATTATAGCAAAAATAAATCTTCCTTTCCATTTAGACGTTTTTCTGAAAAAAGAAAGCTTTAAATAACTAGTTTATATATATACAGAAAAAATCATCATACTTCAAATAGATCACAAATTAAATAGCTTTAACCATATACAGTATGTTACGTAAATTAAAAATATATTTGAAGTTCTAAAATAATAGTAAAAAAAATAAAGATCTAACTAGGATCCAAATATATTACTCGATAGAGACCATAATTTTTCTTTTCTCCTACTTTTGAGCGCCTGTATCACACAATGAGGTAAAAAATATCGTTTAAAATATCGTTCTGGTAACGAAATACCCGAAACTACCCCTGCTTAGTGCTTACTTATCGAGTGATAACTGTCAATAAAGTAATAGTCGTGGGTATAACCGTAATTCAAGAGGGGAATTACCTTAAATCATTTTGATGCATTTATATCTAAAATGAGGAAAATTGCAGGGGAAGATGTCTCTTACTTTCCCCGCCAATTGCATCTCCCTTAATTTCTTCCCCTAATTCCAATCTAGGGCTCAATTCTCTCTATGACTGCTAAACCTGCTTCAAATTCCCTCAAAATCACCCGTTTATTCTTGGAAGTTCTTCGAAATCTGATATCCGGAAACCCTAATTTCTGAATCCGTGACTAGAGTTCGATCCAGAGATGAGCAATCCGAGCAGTTCCGGATGGGGTTCAACTTCGAGTTTGACTCAGTTCGGGATCGGTTTGGCCAATACAGTTCAGTCGGAGGTTGCTCCTCACTTGCCGCTACCGTCTTTACCCATATTCTGCGGCGCGACGGCGCCTGGGGAGTTCAAGCTGTTCGATGAGGTTGGCCATGGTAGTGGCAACAGGTCGTTGAATCGCAGTGAGATTCTCTCGCAATCCGGTAGAATCGCTAACCTGCTTGAAGAGACTGACATTTCCTACCTGTAAGTGATCTCTCTCGTCTTCTCCCTTCACAGCCTTTTTAGTTCTCATTTTTGGCAACTATCGTTCGTGACTGGAAATCAGAAACTAGTTCTGGTGAAATGCTGTGTGATTTGGTTTACAATATATCAAAATCTGTTTCGTTGCTGATAATTGTTAGTCGAGTATCCCTTGTTAATCATGAAACTACCAAATCAGCTAATCTACGAAAAGCACTTGTGACTGCAGTGAATCATCTAGTGTTTTGTTGGATGATATGGTGCATGTAAGCTATATAAAGAAGCTTGGTGATTAGATAAGTTAACGTCTTCAGGTTTTGGTAATTTTGCTGGTGAAGCGAGCAGTAACCTTTGGTTATGTGCTCGTTAAATTCACAGCTAACCTTGAATTAAGTAATTCTGGGATTTAAACTGTGCTTCTCTCCATCGGAAGCTTAGGTCTGTGGAGAATATTTTGATGGATGGCGTTTTCCGTTCCGAGACCATGATTTTATGGGGCGCCAACTTATTTCTCTCTGATTTAATCTTGCAGGGATCTTAGAAACGAGGCTATGGCGCGCAATTGTAATTCCGAGGAGCCTTTTCAGTTATTTGACCAAGTTCTACGATGCAATCCTGGAGCATTTGAGTACGTTACACCTGGTAAATGAATCCTTCTTATTTTGTCCCTTTTTGGCTGAACTGTGGACTGCTACAGATTTTGAGGGAAATATTGAAAATCTTTTTGAAATGAATCCTTCGAAGTTTTAGAATATTTGGTCTGCATTTAGGATGCCATGAATGCTTGATACTAGCACCGTCTTCCTTCTTTTTTCACCCCACTCAGGTGGTAGTGAACCTCTTTTATACGCTCCACTTATGCTGAGCTCTGGGAAAGCTTGTTATTGCGCCAGTGTATGATAGATTTAATATGTTTATGCTGCATTACAATTTAAACTTTATCAGGTCCGTCCGGCGATCCAGTCTGTACCGATGAAGTGACTCAACAGAGAACTTCTGAGCCAAGTGTTCCTGTCAAGATTCAACGACAGGCAGATCATAATTTAACTAACAGTATCCAACCTGGACCTGTGAAAAGGGTATTACGATCAAATCATGTTGAAGATCATAGTTGGCAGCCCGAACCTCTGACAAACCAGTCACCGAGAGATGATATTGCAACTCATGACTCTCGGCCTGAAACGATCACCATGAATGTAAGACCATTATCACAATCTTCCTGTGTATTACATCTCTTCTGTGCCGTGGACATAACTGAATTGAAGTGCAGGAATCTTCTGCTTCCAAAAAGCCAAAGGGCAAGAAGAAGCGTAATGATGACCTTTCTTCAGTTCAACCAGATTCATCTGTGCTTCAAGGTCTGTTTGTCCTCTTTTGCTTGTTTTCTTTGCAGTTACCCCTACCCTCTAAATAATTTGTGGTTTTCTAATGCTTATATAGAGTCCATCGTAAAAAGCTTTTGTGAGATGTTGGAGGACTTCTGTAGCAGAGCTGAAGTCCCTGGTGATGATAGGGATGAAGCAGAGTGGTCATCAGTGCCTGCTGATGAAGTTCGTGTTCTTGTAAATGAATTGATGACTATACGGTCAAAAATGCTCCTGCATATGGTACCTGTTGATATTCTATCGAGGTTATTGCACACTCTGGATCATCAGATACATAGGGCAGAAGGCTTGTCCGTTAATAGTGAGCATGTGAGTAATTTTGTGGTTGGTTCACTCTATTTGCGCCTCTCATGCTTTCGAGGGGATTGTTTTCATGTTGCTCTTGACGAATGGACTATTATTAGTAAAATTTAGCTTTCAATCAAAGTTATTTTTCTTTGTTTGAAGTATAGTTTCTTGCACTTCGAGAATGCACGAATGATTAGTTCTTTTTATTCTGTTTTAAATGATCACGTTTAGTATAATAAAATTGGCATATACCTCTTTTTCTTTTTAGCTAACATTTCCTGTGCAAAAACATTTCAGTCAGATTCAGATTCAGTGTCGTTGGTTCTTGGTGCCCTTGAGTCAATCCATGCATCGCTTGCAGTGATGGCCAACAGTGATATGCCAAAGCAGCTCTACAAGGAAGAGGTGATTGCTTCATAGGTGTTGTTTTCCCTGACGGTTTATGCTAATGCTTTTCTGCACACTGCTACCGTTTCACCATGTCTAACTGACTCATTTTTTTTTTTTTTTGTATTTTCAATTAGGTAATTGAGAGAATTCTGGAGTTTTCTAGGCACCAAATGATGGCTGTTATGTCGGCTTATGATCCATCATACCGCACCGCAAGTAAACCGGCAGATAATGTGGCTTTTGAAGGTTGATTTCCGATTTACTTTGGAAGTTGGATTTGCTATGCATATTCGGTTCCAATGCATGGCATGTCGTTCTCTATATCTAAAACTTAGTTT